ACGCTATGCTTATTAGTCAGACATGAAACGGCGATGCCATATTGTCGTCGTGAGTGTCAGCAAAAGGATTTCTTTCCCGCTGACCTGCATTAATTGCGCACCAAGCATCACGCGAGCAAGCCGGTGGGATCATCTGTATCCTGTTTTTCCACGCACTAGCCTGATCATTTTTGGTGGATGAAATGTCCCTTCCCATTCGCACACTGTGTCGTGTGGTTGATACAATATAAATCCTGACTGCAAATTTGCAGAAGACTGCTACGCGCATGTGTCAATTTTATGCATCCCATGTCAACATCTTGGCCTGTAACCACTCAGCGCTCACTTTTACCTGCATACTGACCACTGATGATGCCTTTACGCGGAAACTGCGGATCCTGCGGTCAGTGCGGGTTTGTAGCTCGCTGCGAGCGGGGTCCGAGCGTCCGTCGATCCGTCTGTCGGTGCATGTCGGCAGACCGCGGTGACAGGCCTCGGCGGCCAGACGGTCGCTCAGGCACCGTGGGAACCCCGCCTAACGAGCTGCAGAGGGCCCGGAGTGGTCGCTTAGTCATGACGCCACGTCAGATCGGCGGCGCAGACATCAGATCGGCAGCACGGACATCAGCTGACGTTTGGGAGGCTCGATCACATCAGGTAGTGATGACTGCGATGAAGAGGTTATCGATAAACGTCTTCGGGCTTTGTCTGGAAATGTAATTTTAATCAAAGCAGGCAGATTCGATGATTGTGATGCCTACTGTGTAGTGGAAATGATAATCGATCGCTGGATACCGTTTCCTTTCCCAAGCACATCCTGCACATCTTCCAAAATTTTATAAGAAACAGAAAACGTAGTTTTTCATTTGTTTGATAATTCCAAGCTCACTCAATAAGCTTTAAAACATCCAAATTGCTTTCAATTCATCACCATCGCCATTCATTCGTTGTTTCGCGATAAACCAAAAAAGAAACGATTTGGTTAGTTGGACATCATTAAGTACAGCCTGCGCACCTTTATCTAATTAATATGGCCGGTCAACGTCCGGCCGCTTTGGCCTGTACAGCAGCGGCGACTCATCTCTGACAGTCCCATTGAACCCCACCGGACCCCGCCGAATCCCGTCAGAGCCCACCAGAGCCCACCAGCCGACCTGTCCCGGTGCTTCCCGGTGCCCAGCTGGTGCCCCGCACAAGACTATGCAAATCCCCACTAGATAAATGGCCCTACCATGCAAACGAGCTCCTCCTTTTCCCATAGGCGCGCCAAAAACAAAAGATACTATTTCGTATAATTTATTGCCGCTTGCATTCAGAGCCGTGCGGATTTTTTCGTCTGCGCCACGGCGATAAAAAGATTAATAGAAACAAAAAGAAGGATAAAAAATTAATGGAAGTGGAACGGACGGATCAGTTGATTTAATAATACTGGGTTGGGACGCCGCAGCCGACCTAACTGCCCGACCCGTCCTAAAATTAGGGCGCAGAGCGGTTGGCACCTTCTCCGAAAGAATTCGATTAGCCAATTATTGACAAGTGACGCGGCATGCGGCATTCATTGCGCGGCGCCCGCGGTGGCCTTGCTGTTTTTGTCGTCGGTAAGAGGCCTCAACCGTCTACTACTGAATACTGGGCAAGAAAAACGGCTCACATGATCTTATCGTGAGGATAGTGTTTCGCGCTGGAACGCTCCGACACAGGTGCCGCGTGGTGAGCGGAAATTTTTCCTCAAACGTTTAAATAGTTTAACCGTTTCTTTATGAAACGTAAGCTGCTCACAGTTCCGCATTTCGAAGGTGAATCCTCAGGGAAGGTGGTAAGAGGTTTGTACACTTGCGTTGGAACAACACCAATGCCGGCAGATCCCGGGATCCCCACCTGGTGCGCATTGTAGTCTCTCGCGAGCGATTGGTCCCACGAGAGTGTCACGGGGCGGTTTCTTTCCCTGGAATGTCCCTCTGTCGGCCGTGCCCCGTTATAAGAGCAGCGGAGCCGCGTCGGCCGGCCGGCCGGGTGTCCGATAAACGCGTCACTTCTCGTCATTGTGCGCCTGTTTACCTGGACGGTCCCATTACGGGCGGGGATTGGCGACGCTCGCACCAAAATGCCGCCGTGCGGGGATTGATGGCCTGCCATTGGTCGAGGGACGAGGACACTGTCTGGGGTAGGAGCGGACCAAGAGAAAGACAAGCTGGTAGGACGGGCCAGCAGGGCGGTCAGTTGGGCATAGGCCGCCCGGTCCTCCTGCGATGAAGGGTCAACTGTTCTTTTGTTGAAGAGTGTGAAATGTATCACTAACTTCAAAAGGCAGAGCGGCCAAAGCGCTAGCAAAACTAGAACAATTCCGCAGATTGGCCTGGGCAGTCGGCAAAAAAGCTAATCTGCTGATGGGAAAATGTTCCGTTTCTACCACTGATGAGAGATGGGTGGTAGTTGCGGTTTGTTCCACAGCAGTTTGGTGTCGGCACGGCGGCCTCTCCTTGTTCCGTGCAGCGTGAAAGCTGCGTTTAAATTATCTTCAGTTACTTGAGAAAGCTGTCGGATAATTAAGCAGCTTCTTTGAAAATCTCGACCTGGAGACTTGGGAAAAGTTCGGAAGTAATCATCGAGGGAATAGATCGGGCCCTTTGATCATGATCAGACACCGATGCACTATCACCGGGCGGCGAGGGTTCCATCTTTACCCCGATATTAGTTCAAGAACTGACTCAAAGTTCTCGTCACAGCGGCCGGCATCTTCAAACCGGAGAGCACTTCCACAGACCCCCAGTCGATAAGCTGTTCCCGACACGGTGTCGTCCACGACCGGACTGCTGTCGCCGTACGGGACGGATTACGGACCGTTTTTGAGCTGCCGTGGCCTCGTTCGGGCGTCAAACACGGCTCGCGGTAACTGCTGCCCACCTGAGTACACTGGAAAACCCAGAAGACAACACTGCGGCGTAATCACCCAAGGCGCGTGTATCCAGTAAACGCCTCCTCGGCGAGCGAGATGATGCCCAGTGACGCTGGTTCAGGAGCGAACTACCGAAAAGCCTAAATGGAATTTGCGTGTCTGTTGGACGATTTTTCCATGTATGACTGAGATCGCCGGCTAATTTGGCGAGATGTTCGTGATGGCTGTGCAACTGGCGGTGGCACGAACGGCTTCCAGCGCCGCGATCACGCCTGTTGAGGAACGTGAGATGTGATGTACGGGCGCCACTGGTTGGTGGTCAGATAGACGAGGGACGCCTATGCGCGGGGCAGGACTTGATCTAACGCGCCTTATTATCCTTATAGTTGAGGTAGATAATGAAAAGTTCACGTTGCTTTTGAATACCGAGATATATGAAGGTAAGCATCACTTTACACTCCTCGTTATTCTTTTCCTCCGTTTCATCTTGAGGAAGAGCAATTGACCCGTGCACTGAACTCATTCTGAGTGACGTTCGGGACTGCCTCGGACCGCGCTGTACCGGGGGTCTGATCGTTCCCACATCGTTGCCCGTTCCGTGAGCGATGATCCTGCCGATTGACTTTACTATCTGTCATTACCCGGTTACCTGTCTTACATCGCATGGCTCATGTGGATTATGTGGGGTTCGTGGAATTGAGGAAGTCAGGCAGAACTAAATGACAGCATGAGGTCCGCACCTTCGGGAGCATTTCCACACGCGAGCCTAACAGCAACGAAATGAGCAAAAAGGCTCTTAGCAGGACCCTACAGCTCCTAAAAAGACAGTTTCGTTGGCTGGGCCTCTTCTGAAGCTAATTCAATAACGCCCACACTTCTTTCTCCCGATGTAATTGAGCAGTTTGCAAGCTAATCCATCATCTATTACTGGTTAAACCCTCGATCACGTCACAACAATCTTGACCAGTAATCTGCCTTGTTTTCGCACACCATCTTCGCCTAACGACCCGGACAGCCGTTGTAGCGCGTCCTCCACCCATGCTGGCCCTGTAACCGTTGTCACCCAGCTCCCCTAACGCACGATCGGGCTGTAGCTCTGCGCGCGACCGGCCTGCGCGTCTGCTGTACCTCCGTGTCATCTCTGTCATCGACGTTCATCGCGGCGTCACGCGGTTGTCCTGTCTGTCAACACTGGAGACTAGAGGAGCAGCACACCACCCAATCTACACAATCGCGTGTAATTCCCGACCAGGAGTGGCCGCCGACAGCGTCCTCCGACTCTGCCCGCCGACCGCAGCCCTGCTCCTGGGGAGGGCAGAGTACGGCGGTGGTGACATGTCGAGATGGACATGTCACCAAGCCACAGTATCGGCTTCAGACCGACAGAACTGAGCCGACAGAGCTGGCGGCAGAACCGCTGATAAAGCCACCGGTGGCGGCTCATGGCACTCCGCTCTGACGGTGATTTTTCGAATCAGTGGCTCGTTGTTGGATTAGCTGAACCCCGCTGGCGATACCCCAGCGCGGTGCTTGGCCGGGGCTGCGTGACAACCAGAGGAAGGTGCCCGTCTGTCTAGCGGATCTGTCCCCTCCAGTCGGTCGTCGCTGAGCGATTCAGTCGTGTCGAACACGGGGATAATCCGGGAGTTTCCAATTCTCGCCGGAGTTGAGCTGCGACCTGTCTGGGAGAGGCGGTCTCCGCTGGCCTTGGATCAGCGCCACCACTGTCGCCGCTACCGAGCTCTTTGTTTTATGATCTGGCCATAAAAAGAATTGATCACGTTTGTGGTAAATATCCCAGAGCCTCCCGAAACTAGAAACAAAAATAGAACCTAAAAACAAAGCAATAAAAAGCAATAAATGCATAGTTTTGAATTCAAATCATCAGCCATATTCCTATTTAATCCCGATAGGCCATTCACCAAACGCTACTGCTTTCAAACGACCCATTCGGGACATATCTAACGTAAGCAAGGGCGTTTCTCCAAGTCTTGCTGACTGATGCTGGCTTTCCGGTTCCATGGTACAAGGCAAGCGTCAATCAGCAGAGTGCAATAAAACATGTTCTATTCGACGTGACCCTACTCAATCGGAATTCTGACGTTATTCAACTTTTGCCCCGCAGGTGAGCGACCGTACAAGTGCCACTACGCCGAGTGCGGTCGGGCCTTCATCCAGCTGTCGAACCTGCAACAGCACCTGCGGAACCACGACTCGCAGATCGAGCGCATGAAGAACCGGCCGTTCCACTGCCAGATCTGCGGCAAAGGCTTCGCCACCGAGAGCAGCCTGCGCACGCACACCACAAAGGTCAGTCAAAGGTCACAACACCACACCACGAAGGTCAGTCAAAGGTCACAGAACCACACCGCAAAGGTCAGTAACAGGTCACATGGACATTGGACAACGTATCTGTATCACAAAGAACGTGTACGATGATCGATATTCCAACGATATTCAGGTAATCTGAGCATAAAAAAGAAACAAGCGCTTGCTTAACAATCAGCATTTAATCTGTCTTCTTTTCAGCCGAGTAAGAAAAAAGTGAAGCCGAATCGGAATTGCTTGACCAAAATTGAACAACATTAACTCGCACATCTGACCTTGCTGGATTACAAAGCTTCAATTCAAGGTCACTACCAATGGGACACAATGTAGAGCACCAATCCCTGAGAACGACCCTGCAATTAAAAGCTCCTTCCCACCAGAGCCTTGATCAACTCCGCGAAACAATGAGTGGAATGCGCGCGCGCAAATTCCATCAGCGTTTTGTGTTCGTTTTGCGCTCGGATCCGGCCCATCCTTTGGCATTGGTGGGCCCGGAGACACGTGTATAACCGAGCTGAGCAGAGAAGAACATTGTGCAGAATCCCACGCAACTACTCTTTGTTTTCCTAATTGGACCGGGAGTCAGTGTCGAATTTCGTAAGGCAGTGTCGTAAGAGCATGCATTGATTGAGAGAATGCGAGGGAACTCTGTTCGCTGAATTCCTAGGGACGATTATGTAATGCTCAACATGATGCTTTTATTTCTAATTAATTCACTAGATAGGGCTTTTAGTAACCTCGTAACATAGAGCAAGGAGACAAACGAGTGATTAGGGTCCTTTGTTATATTCGCGTGTATTCAATGCATTGCAGTAATGGTCATGCATGCAGTGTCATTTCCAAACCATGATGTCCAGCGAGCACAATGTTCTAGTACTAGTAAATTAAAAAGTAAATAATACTAGTAAATTAAAAACACGTTGAAGCAGCATAGGTACGCTGCTTCTGGTATCCATTGTTTAAAGCCTACGAATGGATCATGGACAAAGAAACTAAAGAAAGCATTGTCGCTCCAACTCTCCTTTTTTGTTTGAATTTTCACTTATGTTGCAATAATAGCGCGATCAGAAAAATAAACACGTAAATTGTTCAGCATGTAGATACAAACGTAACTTGTGTACGACATATAGTACGTGCGTACCATATAGCCTCATGCGAACGAAAAATGTTACCTCTCATTTATAGGCACCATTGCGGAAGGCCGCCATTGATCACTCGTAGAAGGGCTGTGTACTGTTTTACCAGCTTCCATAGAATCAATACGAGGGTCTGGTTTATCTATTGAGTTGAAAATACCACAAAGCACATATATAATCGAAATATTTTGCGACTTCTTCAACCGCAATTTAGGTATCCAGACGTTGTATTCAATACTCTCTTCTCGAAAGAGCGGAAAACAACGATCATGTCCACCTATCGGTGTATTTCATCGACAAAGAACTACAACAGCTAAATGGTAATAAAATGTTGCAATTGCATTCCCAGCTGTTCGATTCATGGGAAAGACTCGCACTAAGGGCTTGAAGCCGGTCATTTGACGCGCTCTGGCGCAGGGAAGACAGCTGTGGCGCGGGAGATACGATCGCGCAATATGAATGAAGACGGCATGCGCAGCCGAGAAGGGTTGACCAATGCTCGCTAAATGCACGAGTTGCGGCGATATAAACACAGAGGAGAGTCCGCCAATATCCGAGCGGGTAACACTGCAGCCACTTCCCTAATTGGTCTCTGGAAACGGAGGCTGGTAATCATTAGTTGACGATAACCATACTTCAGTGTCCCACCATTCGAACCTGGCCGCTTGAACCTCTTAATGATTGTTGTAAATCAACTGTTCCATTTACTTCTCCACCAATTATAAGTTGAGTGAAATTGGCATCTGAATGATGCGGGACCGCTGGTCGGATGGTGCTCGGGTGAGTGTGTCGCTAAGCGGGAGTCGGGTTTTCTCACGGCTCCATTTTGCGGCGACTTCTGTCGAGTAGTTGGGATTGATGACGACCAAGACGATCACATTGTCTGAAGGTGCGCCCTAGCTGTAATTGGTACTGACCCATTATTGAATCCTTCTCTGTGATTTCTGTTCGCATTCTCGGTCGTTTATTCATTCGGCATTCTTTTCATTATTCGTGCATATTGTTCTTTTGTTATAGAATGGTCAATGTTCACCGACGATGATAAATTGAGGAGACATTTTTCGGTGTTTTCTCAAGTGGCTTTTGGGCTACTCTACTGCTGGGATTTAAGAAAGAAATAATACCTATTGTCGACCTCATACCGTATGATTTTTCCAGTGATTCACTCGGTCTTTTGTTCATTGGCTGTAAGAGAAGACATCAGATAGTTATGGCGACGTTTGAAAATGACAACTTTATAACAATTCATTGTGTGATGACATGCTATTCAAAGTGTTGCTCACATATAGCCTGCGTCATTCGATACAAAATAATATTTTCAGTATAGCAAGCAATGCATGCATACATATTTTACATACATGAATGTAAACGGACAATTCCACATTTAATTCCCACGAAAAGGAAGCAGTAGTTTCATGTTATATTCCTATACTCGGCAATGGAATTCATCAGATTTGGTCAACTCGTCTTGTCCGTTCGAGCAGTAAGCGTGACGTCAAACCCTCGGCGATGCTTGAACAGCTTTTACACGGTGTGAGGCTGGTTTTTATTTCACTTTTACCGCCTCATAGCTGTAAGTTAATGGTGCATCAATATCGGCAGATAGCAGCTGTGCAGCCGAGTGGACGAACCGCCCCGGCGACGACAAAAAACACGCACCATTTTCCAGGGTCGCATGCAAAAAGGCGAGCGCTTTTGAACATAGTCATCGGCGGCAACCTTTCCCAGACCACTAGTGAACTTTTTGCACATTGGTATTGGTTATTTTGCCGTTTTTATTCAGAAATCGGTTAGCTCTTCGTCACATCCTTGGTAATAGGAGATTGATCTCCAACCTGCACTCTGTTCATTAGACTGCGCGCTGCACACGGCGTGAACGAATTCTAATGGGACTCGTCTGCGCGAGAATACTGCACTCGAGATGAACTATTAATTTATGCGAACTATAAAAACTGCCTTTGGAGCGGAAAATTACAAAAGCTTGCGCGGCGCCGTGTGGCGATGGGGCCGCCGTGTCCGGATGAAATACGAGGTGCTCTGGAGGTGCGCGCGCTCGGCGGCTATTGTGATCAGACGCACTTGTCCGCGCGGAACCGGATCCTCACCCCATCCTGTGAGAGGCGGTCTAATGGATAAAGATGGTTCAGTTTTATCCATTGACACAGGGACATATGTTATTGAAACTGCTAGTCGGTTGTTCCTGGTGCGATCTAGTACTTAAAAATGTAAAACTAGGTAGGTAGGTGCTTAGCAGTTTAATTGACCGCTGATTTATTGGGTACGGATCGTAACGCGCTTCTGCTCACACGCAGATGAGATCATTGAAAGCTTTTACCCGTCGATTGACCACTATTGTTATCTGAAGATTCACATCAGCTTTCATTCTGGCCAATCCAACACATAATGACCTCATCAGCTCTCAGTGACTCCCAAGTCCCAATGACCTCTGGTGAGCCCCCGTTGACCTCTGGCCGACCCGTAATGACCTCTACCGTCGCTCTGTTGCAGCATGCTGCGCTGATCGGTGGACCGAACGCCGTCAACTGCCCTCTCTGCCATAAGATGTATCTGGGCGGTGCGGCGCTGATGGAGCACATGAAGCACGTGCACAAGGACCCCAACGCCTCGGGCGTGGCAGGTGAGCTAGCTGACGATGACTAGCCGTCAAGAAAACATGTTTGTTGCTCGCTCTATTGGTGTTTGGTGACTTGTGTTGCCACTTATTTCGTTTGTCCTGTCCTGCTTTATGTGTAAAACTCGAACCCTCTTAGCAGTGGACGCAGTCGCAGGAATCGGGTAGATCAGAACCTCAAAGCGATGATGTTTATTGATATAAATTCAAAAGAGGCTGCCCTCATCTTAGTCCCTTGAAAGCGATGCACCTTAGCACCTTGATCGTACCACCCCCTCATCATTCGAACTACCGCTGACCCGTGTCAGCATCATGCGCCGCCTGTCAGTAGCGGAAACAGGGCCACTAAATTAGCTACCGGCACGGGCAATCAGTCGATCATTACTAGTCACTCAGTTGGTTTATCGTCCGACGAGCTGTGCAATTTTAGCGGCCGGTTTATGATTGACGGGGTCTGTGGTGAGGCAGGATGCACCGGACGGTCCTAGGGGGCTAGGGGGTGGTAGCTTTCCGAGAAGGACACAGGGCGCTCCGATCGGGTGTCAGTTATTGCTCGCAGTTATAAGGCGACTTTTCTGACTATAAATCTGAACGGCTGGGACGGAGGTTATTGGTCTGTGCGGTAGTCTGATGGTCTGAGGGCCTGTCGCCGTGTTTCTGTCTTTTCGTCCCTTTGTAGTTTGTATCACCGTCCTTTTATCCCTTTGTTTTTCCTTCCCTACATCTTCCAGTCTCTCCTAGCTCCGTCTCTCCGTCTCATCTCACCCGTCCCTCCGTCTCGCTATCTCCCCCCCCCCCCTACAGTGACCAGCCGCGGGTGTCGTCGAGTGTCGCCATTTTCTATCCCCGCCACCGCCGAACTCAGTGATCTGCGACGGATTAGCGGCATTAGTGTCCACCGGCGACACAGTAGACACCGACACCCAGCCGCCGATCTGTCCTATAGAGCCTGTCGGCCGCGGGAGGGCTCAGGCAGATGGTCAGAATTCTTAGAGTTGGTGCTAAACGAGGTGCCGACAGGGCGATGGAGATGATGGTTAGGAATCTGGTAGCTGAGAGGGGAGGGTAATCTAGCGCGCTGGTAGCGGTGACAGATGTGATAGCTGTGACAGGTGACAGGTGTGACAGGTGACAGGTGACAGGCATGACGTGCGAGACGCAATAACGGCACGATCGAAATCAGGTCGAGGTGATCGTAACGAAGCAGCGCTACCGCAGATTTGCGCTAGATTTCTGAGAGGGTCCCCCCGCGGTTTGCACAAGGGAACGGACATATCATTTAATCGCCGCGGCTCAAATATCGTTGCCAGTGTTTAGGGTACAACTCGACATGAGTTACCACATTTCCGTGTCTGATTGTCAGCATCTGATAGTGATGGAACAAATTTTAATACAAGAATAATGGTTTTAATGTCAGCATGGCGTGCCTGGCCAGTAACGGTGAATGACGTGAATGCCACTTGTGTCCGTGTGTGACATGTGAAACTGTCGTTAAAATGTCTTCAGAAATACGGCTCTTCAGCGTTTCGTGCGAATATTCTCGTGTGCTGAAAGCATGTTGCTCGGTGCACTGAAATGCACGTCGCGTCTCTTTGATGCCATGAATTTACCGGTTAGCTTTACCAGGAAGACCGGCATGGGTCGTGGAAACAATGGGCTCGCTATTTATTCCACGAAACTGACCGAAAAAGGGGACCAAAGTAAGCTTGTTGTGACCAAGGGAGGACCAGACAGGATACGTGTCCCCTGGTCATTGTCGCTTTCAATTACCATAAGAAACTTATTAGCACTTATCGGTATCTAGCACATCCTTCTCTTATCTTCTTTCCTTTCTCTGATCTAGTGTCGTCGGTTATCTAACTGATCCTTTTCTCTCATTGCAGCTAAGCGGCGGACTCCGAACCATCCCTGTCCGATCTGCGGCAAGCAGTACGTCAACGAGGGCTCCTTGAGGAAGCACATGGCCACCCACCCGGAGGCTGCCGGGCTGGCCTCTCCGCTGAGGATGTGGCCCTGCTCCGTTTGCCAGGCCGTCTTCACGCACGAGTCCGGTGAGTGAGATTATGGGGACTGGGGACAGCTACAAGGGGCTGATCAGTGGTCACTAAAAACCAAGGCCTTCCTTACTCCGCAAATTACATTCAATGATTGAAATGATAATGCCATTATTTTTGGAAGCATTAAAGATGCCACTTGTAAACAACTTATGTAAATTTAACTTTACAGAAAGGACACAACAATTACAATCACAACCCACCTTATTTTTCACATATCTGTTTTAGAAATTGGCACAACTGAGACCTCCTACAGATCTGTCTGTCCTGGCAGGCTCATGACGCACCCTCCCCGCTCATCCGGCAGCGTTCCTGACGCACATGGACCACATGAGGATGGACCCGAAGCACCAGTTCGCCGCCCAGTACGTCCTCTCCCGAGCTGCCGCCGAGCGACGAGAGCGTGAAACTCTGCTGGCCGCCGCCGCCGCCGCAGCTTCCTCTTCCATGTCAATGGGTATGAACGGCCACATGTTCCCCAACATGGGCATGACGGGCATGTCCAGCTGGGCTCCGACTCCGACCCCGAGCTCCGGCGCCGGGCTGGTGGGTGTGCCGGGCACCACACCGGGTACGCCGGTCACGCCGGGGGCTAACAGCGGGCCCGGACCGCTGGGCGGAGCCCCCGGAATGCCTGCCGGTACTGGCACGCCCCTGACGACGGCCGCGTCGGCCACGTCGCCGTCGGCGCACTCTGATTCGTCGTCTCGCATCTCGACGCCGGCAGAGGCGAAGATGGAGCCGCGCGCCGGTGGCGCCACCTCGATGCTGCAGCACGCGTCGGTGCTGCCGCCTAACGGCGGACGGATGGAGATGGAGCGTGGAGGTGACCCGATGGCCGGTCACATGCCACCTCGTATGGAGCCTCCCGGTCATCAGCGGCTGGGTATGCTGAACCGTCTGGGCATGCAGTACCCGATGGCGTCTCACTGTCAGACGGGGATGTCAATGGCTCCGGCACGTCCCACCGACAGCATGAGGGCCATGATTCAGCAGACTCAGGCCGAGCTGGTCAAGTCTACTCTGACCTCCCAGGCGGAGAGCGCCCGCTCGCTGGACGTCCTCCGCTCTCTCACCACCCAGGCTGAGACCATGGTGGTGCAGCCCGACTTCCGGTTCCTTCAGGCCGACCTGGCGATCCGCTCGAGTCACGACGGCGGCGCTGTGCGGCCCGAGTCGGCGGGCGGCGGTCTGCAGGGCGGAGATCAGCTCGGGGAGTCTCTCCGACTCCAGGACAGTCTGAGGCTGCACCACGACCCACGAGGAGCGCTTGGCTTCCTGCAGACCTCGCAGGGTGGAAACTGAGCTCCCTGGCCGGCATCGAACGCCGTTAGCACACTGGACAGCGCCGGATGTTCTGGGCTTGACGGGCGCCGCGCTGTAGTAGTTTCAAGTTACGAGAATAGCCCTGCTAGGTACACGCTCTAGGACGCAGACAGAGTGAAGCAGGCTTGGCCGAATTCGCGGCGCAGGAGCAGCTACGGTGTCACTACTTTGACGGGCCGTGGTGGGGTTGTGTTGACGTCAACGACAGCGTCTACAGACGGCGCCCGCCCCGCTCCCTGCCTGTCGCAGCTCTCTCCTGCTTTCTCTCACGTCTTCAGCTACATTTCTACACGGTTCTGTGTCCATGTTCGTAATGTTGTCTCCAGCGAGCGGCGTGTTCATTGTCGGCTTGATTCGCTTGCGTTGGCGCCGGCCAACCAATGACAGCGCGCCGTCACACGTGATGAAAACCAAAGCAGCGTGCTGTCTCTCAAACGGTGTACAATTTGATCTCGAGGCGAGCCGCTGGCGGGCCGGCCAAATGCGCTCTGATGTTCGTCATTCGGCCGGCCGTATCGAAGCGGAGTGTTCGCTGTAAATAGCCCACAGTTGTCGCTACCGTTGCCCAATGCTGGAGCCGTAAGATTGATGTCCTAGCGAGGCATTAAGCGCGTGAATGATACATCATCGTACTTTTGTCATTTTTGTGTGGGTGTTGGTGAGGACCGAGGAAAAGCGACAGGGATAGAGGGATTTAGGCAGCTACAGGGAGGGAGGGAGCGCGCAGGAATGTGCAGAGGGATGTGAGAAGTGTCGATATCGTGGTCGCCATCGGGTGCAATACAGCTCCGTGTTATGTGTAGAGGCGGTCCGTTCCGCCGCCCCTTGTGATGTCGAGCGGCATGTGGCGTCACAGTGTGACCTGTGACCTGTGACCTGCCGCTCTGTGACCCGTGACCGGTCCCCGGTCCGACCTGCCGCTCGCTGTGTGACCGAGGTCATAGGTCGCGAGATGACGGTTCCCGCCGAGCAGTAGTTCCAATTTGAACAGAGCGCGTGTGCTGTCGTCTTTCCCCGTCCGCTTCCCAACAGTGCAGCTGTAGCAGCCTGTCCCAGCATTTGTCAACATGTTATGTACTATGCTTGGTTACGTTTTCTATCATCTTTCCTTACCATCACAAAAAATCGGACCTCAATTCCTAGCGATCTATTCACAAATTATTCGACATTCTTTCACAAAGCTTGCACATAACTACAGAAAGTCTGTAGCCGAAATTATTCATCCGTCACTTCCCTCCACAACTACCGAATTATCTTAGTCTATAGATCACTTCCCATTTCAAACTAAAACATCAGGCGGCGACCAGAGTTTGGCCTCTAGGTCAAGCGTCTGGTAGCACACATCGGTTTCGACTCGTCCCTTCGCCGCCACATCCCCCTCTTTAGCAGCGCTACGGTTCGCAGAGTGTAGAGTAGCCCCGCCCGCCGCTCTGAGTTGTTGTGACGAGGGCCCCCGGGGGCCCCAATGTGGGCCTCAGGGCCCTTTGCGTGGCTCCCGGGGCCCTCGACCTCGCTCTCATCCGCCGTCGCCGTCGCCGGTGCGTCCCGCTGTGTTTCCATTATTGTTGGTGATTTGTAATGCTGCATTACCTGGCAGTGCTGGATGTACGAGTATGTGTTGGTGTTTGACAATGTCGTGTAGCCGTCTGGTGAAAATACATGGTTCAGTGCAACGTTTGGTGTGAAGTTGCGAGTTGCGATGGCAATAGGTAGGGCTCGACGTATCAACTAGGAATGGGAAACTATCAGAGATAACTCCTGTTTTGACATTCAGACCCATTTGATTCAAGTGGCACAGCAACACAAAATGTTGTTAGCTGTAAGCTGAATATAAAAAACATGGATGGGTGGCTATCGGATGATGGCTCATATGACCTGATAGGTCAGCATATAGCGCGGTCAACTGAATGCATGAGTGCACTGACTCGCTTATCCAGATGAGGTCACGTCTGACCCTCTGCTGACCACAGACCCCGGCATTTCATCACGCGGGTCATCTGACGACATACCACGTGACAATGTGGCACGTGTTTCCTGTGTCAACAAACACGAGTCTGCGCCTCTCGGGTTTCAGTTATCATTTCATTCGCCCCTCCCCTGGTCCAGGTCCGGTCCGTCTGTCCGTCTGCGTCTGTCCGTCTGTCTGTCTGTCTGTCTGTCTTTCTGTCCGTCTGTCTGTCTGTCTGTCTATCTGTCTGTCTGTCTGTCTGTCTGTCTGTCTGTCTGTCTGTCTGTCTGTCCGTCTGCTGGACGGTCCAGTATCGTGTGTCGACGACCCCCCGCCCCCTCCGTCCCCATCCCCGGAATGGAGCCATGTTATCAAAAACTCTCCCGAGTCGGTAGAGTTCAGCTGAGCCGACTGCCAGTGTTGCTGACCGTATTATGTCTGTGACTTGTCTCTTCTATAAACATAAATGCTGGTTAGGTACTATGTAGGTATTTATAGTAATAAAAAAGAAATGGTCTGCGTTGTGGGCATAGTCAGACAGATAAGTAGAGATTTGAAATTGAAGGCATATCTTACTGTTTCAAATAATTGTAACCATAATGCGGTTGTTTAGTAGCAAATACGTAAGCTGAGCTAATGATTTAATTGCCACGCTCATATATTTTCACTCAGCGCTATAGATTGCTTCAAACATTTTGGTTTTAAGGAGAGAATGTGCTAAGTAATTACTCTTTATTAGTTACTTACTCCCATATAACGTCTATTAGTGTTGTGTTTAAAAAAGAAAAGAAAACGCTTTAGAGCGACTTCCTCCCCGTCTTCGCGGCAATAAAAAAAAAATATGGAAGGCCGTTTGAATTAAATTACAAACTTAACAACAATCGCATGCATTAAACCAACAAATGCTAACCTGCTCTATTCATCACCCCTCCGTCATGCACAGCAGCTCGATGTGAGCACCTGTCCTCGTAAGTTACATTTCACCATCATCTCTCCACCTGGGGAGCTCCATTTCTGGCTAGCTAGCTGAGCTACAGGTGCAGTATTCTTTGTTCCTCGCTACTCCGAGTCTCTACACACCTGCAACGGTTGCACTCGCAGGCACCCCTCCCCTCACACACACATACACGCGCACTTGTCGACAGGATGTGAGTGACGGGTGCTGCTGTGCGCCTTCAAACCGTCACAGGGGCGGCATAAAAAGGCCCGTCGTAGGTGTACCAGGTAGTTTTTCTGATAGTTTTGTATTTCATCAGCAATGCCACATAGGTAGGCGCTTGTGAGAAAGTAAAGGAATGGCACTGAAGTGTCGTGCCATGAAATATATTCGATTTGACGCTATAAATCCGCTTATTCCTTGCCTTTCTTCACTTAACTTCACTTAGAACTAATCTCATCGTCTATCACCACTTTTATCTATTCTTGTCACCCTCTAGAATAAATTTATCTTTTATTCATAATTATTACATCCCATTTTATATATGGCCGTTCCACTTGGGCTGGGTTTGACACCAACACTGCTGATCATATTTCCACCGATAAACCTATACTCCAGATATTCACCGGCGCCGCACCACCAGACCCGTGCTCTGAGCACGCCTCTGTCAAAACATAGAGAGACTGACAGGGTCGCGGTATCGCGAGGCGCGCTCGAGCACCGAGCAAGTGTGCGAGGGTCGATCGGGCCGTCAAATGCCACTCGTGAGCCGGCCGGCCGCGGTCGGAGCGAACTGGGCTGTCACGGATAGCAGTGAGAAGGGCAGAGGTATAGTGAGGAGGTGAGAGGCGCAGTGAGAACGTGAGAGACGCAGCGAGGCAGAAACGCAGTGAGACAGTGAGCAGAGGTGCGAATAGAAGGCGTGTCCGTGTGTGACTGATAAGGTCCGACTGCAGTTTGTCGCAGTGATTTGTGGGCTCCGGTGACGGATTCATTTCGTGCGTATTGTGAAAGGGCAGCTCTTCTTTGTGATGCCAATGTGACACAGCAATATAGAGGTGCAGCTCATCGCCGTTACAACTTGTAACGAGCTCGACGTCCCGGACCGAATCTCATAAGAACAAAAAAGCCTTTGAAGTGAGACACTATAACTACACCAACCAGCGTAATCCGTCTTTTCTCCGAAAGTCATAATTGTTTTGATGCGTTTCTAAATTTTACAACAGAAACGGTGATAAGGACGCAATAAGTCTCACACCAAGGCGAAAAGACCTGTGCGGCGCGCGTCATCTCCAACTGAGTAGAGAAGTGAGAAGTAGAGAAGTGACTCTTCTTCGAACTCCATTTCATCCCAGCAGCGCTCATCATCTCACCATCCCAGCACGATGAGTCTGCTGGGCAGCAAGCTGGCGGCCGCGGCAGTGCTGCTGGTATCAGCACTGCTGCTGGGCCTTCTGCCTTTCCTGCTCCTCGGGTGGCTGCGGGGCGACTCGGGCGGCCGGCCACGTCTTCAGCTAGCTCTCTCCTGTGTCCAGTGTTTCGGTGGTGGGGTGCTGCTGGCCACAGTCTTCGCACATATGCTACCCGAACTGCACGAGGCGCTCGATCTGCCCGACTCAGACTTCCCTCTAGCCGAGGTGCTCGTCTGCGCCGGCATGTTCTGCATCTACGCCGTGGAGGAGCTGGTCGAAGTCGGTATGAACGCCGGCAGCGGAGGATGGTCGGCCAGTCTGGGGCTGCGTGACAAACCCACATACGGAGCCCTGGAGCAGCTGCCTAGGGTCGAGGGATGGCATGACGGACACTCACACAGCCTGCCACAAGACGGCCTTAGCGGATTTCGGGCGGTCGTCATGGCCGTGGCTCTATCGGCGCACTCGGTATTTGAGGGTATGGCCATCGGTCTAGAGGACCACACGGAGAGCGTTTGGTTGTTAGCCGCCGCCATCACCGCCCACAAGGGCATCATCGCCTTCTGCTTGGGCGAGCAGCTGGCGGCCTGTGCGTATGGCACGCGGCGCTCGCTGGTGTTGCTGTTGGTGTTCGTAGCGGCCGCGCCACTGGGTGTGTTATTGGCAGCGCTAATACCAACCCCGGACGGTGGCGACTCCATCCTGCCACAAGTCCTACAAGCTCTAGCCTCTGGATCGATCCTCTATGTTGTAGTGTTTGAGATCATCCAGGGAGAACGGGCTAAGCAGGGCGGTGGGCTGCTAAAACTACTGGCCGTGGTAGCTGGGTTTGCGTTCATGGTGGGGATGTCACAACTGCTGGTAGAAGATGAGAAACGGGCGGTGACGCAGATGATCCTGGAGGAGTCAAAGGCTCCCGTCACCACACCTGCCATGGTGGAATGACAATAAAATTAGACAATAGACATGCGCAAGACTTTTGTCAAAGACGACCGTTGTATCTTTCCTTCATCTTTTCTTCATTTTTGCTGAACTGACATCTGCCGCAATATTTTCGCCATTCAGTTTGTTGAGGAAGTGTGATGTTTTGTGTACTATTGTGTATGCCTATGGAAGCCGTTGACGAAACGTATTCATTTATGTACCTATTGGCAAAATGCATCTATAGTCCAACGTTACTTTGCAGTGTTACCCATTGAACAGGCCAATATAATGTGTTTTGAGTTGCCAATTGTCCTATCTGTATAGAACAGAGAAATATATGCAGTCAATGAATCTTTAGCGGCACATTTTCTAAGCCTTTTCAGGACGCTCGAAAAACCAAAAGCACGGCTTCCATTGGTCACCCTGGGGCTTATCCTGTCAAAGAAGTGCACTGCGGCACAGCATAGCTGCAGGCGTTTGACTACTGCCATCTAGCGGCGAAATATGAAAACAGTGGTCATTGCGGCACAGCATAGCTGCAGGCGTTTTACTACTGCCGTCTAGCGGCGAGAGATGAAAACAATGGTCTTTGCGGCACAGCATCACAGCAGGTGTTGAGGGCAGGTAAAACCACACGGCGATGGCAATGCATAGATTTTAGTTGTTTGAAAGCATTACCTGCGTTACGTTGTTGATAGGAAGAAGAATTCGGCTAAACTGAGCCGCCTTTTCAGCACTGCGATCTAACTATAATTTTCCCGGTCACCAAACCGGACTACTCGAAGTCCCATAAGGCAAGGTTCCAGTAGCGGCGGAACACCCTCAAAGGGGGGGGGGGGGAGGCACTGCCGACTTTTAGTCTCAATGAATATTTCTCCTGCATCTTGCTTCGACCACACCTTATCTAAATTTCAATAGACTCCTTAAATTATGTCAAGCTTTAACGGGAGCATACCCTTTGACTTACATCTGTCGACGTGAGCAAGACACAGCCACAGGCGATCATAGCATCCGGCGCAGCCGCTGACGTCTCTCATCACCCGACACAACACCTGACTCTGAGGCTAGCTGTGATATCAGTGCTGCCTGTGATATCAATGCCAGCTGTGATACCATCTGCCGGACATTAGAACAGCACCGGCAGCCGGAACGGGTCAGCGCGATCCCTGTCACTGCTCCGGCGGGGTCACCGCCACAGGGCAGGGCGGGGCGGTCCGTCTCCCCAGGTCACCGGGCGCGTACCCAACGGCTGTGTCAGCGGCTCAGTGGGTCAGAGTCCCCCCCCCCCCTCCGAACACGGGAGGACAGGTCACAGCTCGGAGCGCTACTGGTCCAGTCAGACACCGCTGCCGTCCGCCGAACCATCATGTCCCGCACGGGGACACCAGCGGCTGTTCTAGCTACTCTCCTAGCAGTCATTCTGGTGGATTTGGCCCTTCTGCCGCCTTCAGCTGCTGGAGAGAGCCCAGCACTGACGCCTTGCTCGGTGATCCTTCCCCGACATTGCACGCCAGCCAACTGCGCTCTCCCAGTGGTAACTGAATCCTGCTGCCGCTGTCACAATCTATGTTGTGGCTCGAGTGATAACCGACAGAAGTCTGACGATATCGAGCGCGGGGATCTGGATTCCACCGGTTCTGAGAGCTCCGAAGCAGAGGAGCAGCCGGCAGAGTCTGGGTCATCTGGAGCCCAAACGACTGAAGACAATAATGCAGCCGTGAAGCTTCCGCAGCCGTTGGTTCTCGCTCCAAAATGTGAGTACTGGCCCCGGTAATACGGCACGATTAGAATTCATACCAAACAAAGGAAACAATAGCTTGATTAGCGGTCAAGCTTTATTAGACTAGGTTTGTGTGATGCAGTTTTTTGTAATAGCTACTTCACTCTTGTATGGTGTGAAAGAAATAGAGAGCAATTAGTAAAAAGAATCTTGTGAGGAATAGAGACGTTACTATTTCAGCTTGCTTTGCTAGCCCTCATTTTCTCTAGCGAAAATGATATATAAACTTATTATGGACTGAAAGAACAGTCAATTAAAAAAAAAGTTATTCAATAGGTGCTGAGCTCATTACTTACTAAGTTCTCATTCCTGTGTTTGAACAATTATCATGTTACAACCTATACAAAAGACCATATTCCGGATAAAAAAGTTCGATGCAATCAACTGTTTCGTTTTCGAACATAGTCATGCCTCAGAAGTGAATAGACCTTCAATCAGCGTTTTCTTTTCGTCTTCTCCTCAGCCCTCGGCTTTCTGCCACCGGGGTACCAGCCGATTTCTGACCAGGATGGCACGACCTCGGCGCCAGCCACCTGCGTGGAACCGGGCTTCCCCGCAGCCGTGCGGCAGCACGAAGACATCTGGCCAAGCCTGGTGAATCGGTGTCTGTATCTCAAGTGTCTGTCAGGTACCGTGCACGTAATCCTCAACAAATGCGGCGACTCCTCGACCACTTCGCCACCAACGACGCCTGCAACAGCGGCGACCCCGACGACGACTTCGGCAGTGTCGGTAGCTCGCTGGGCCAGTCACTACTATCCGTGCGTCGATCCGAACACTGGAGATGTGTACCAGCACGGAGAGACGCGACAGGACACCGAGCTGAGCTGTGGCTTCTTCCTCTGCTCAAATGGCTCCTGGGTGTTCGGGGGTTTCCACTGTCCCACCCCTGGCATCGACCCGGACCTCCCCGGTCCGGACTTACCAGACCCAGGGGCCCCAGTTCCGGATCCTCTCGACCCACCGGTCGTGATTTTCCCCTTGCCGACATCATCTGCCCCTCCTGGTGCCACAACCCTGTCCCCGAACCTGCCGACTGTAGTGCCCAGACCCTCTCCGGAAGACGGTCCCTGGGAACCAGACAGCTCATGCGTGGACGACTTTGGGCAAACACAGGCGAGCGGCAACACGTGGCTGGCTCCTGGCCAGCTGTGTGTATACTACCGCTGCCAGAGCGGCATCATCAGCTCCTTCACCAAGTCGTGCTCACCGCCACCTCCCGGCTGCGTTACCGGGCCGGTCCTCCCGGGCAAGTGCTGTCCGTCGGTCTCCTGTCCTCAAAGCCCGCGCGACTGCACCTTCGATGACAGGACGTACAGGAGCGGTGAGGTGTTCGCGGACAATCCCCTGCACCCGTGCCAGCAGCTGAGATGTGACGATGGTCTGGTGGTCAGCATGGGGCCGCCGACATTCTGTTTGGCTGTGTACTGCTCGCAGCCCGAGTGGCCCGAGGGCGCCTGCTGCAAGACGTGTCCCGGTGAGTGATCCACAAGCTAGTAGGTATCTCAAAATTTGTCTTGTTTCCTGTCTTAGCTGTCGTTTGATCGTCGTTGATCGTCGTTGATCGTCAATTGATCGTTGAATAGGCATAACAGTACGTTTTACTTGCTTTTAACGGGGTCTTTCCCGTTTATCCGCATTGACCTTTCTCCATGTGTCACCGACTTCAGGCGGGGAGCTGCCGAAGGAGCTCGAGGAGCTGAAGCAGCTAGTGCTGAGGCTGGGCCGGAGGCTGAACCTGCCGGCCGAGCTGATGTCGAGGCTGGAGGAGAGCGTCAACAGGCTGGTGGCCCAGCTGGCCGCCCTGCTGCACGACTCTGACGACTCGGTGACACTCGACACGTTGCTCAACAACCTTATAGAGATGACGGACATCCTCAACTCACTGGCGACCGGTGTTGGTGAGTAGCTCTGGACGGCATGCTGATGGATGAGGCCTTAGGGCTCCGATAAATGCGCTTCGCGTTTTACGAGTAAGATATCATAACATGGAGAAATATATGTTAGCCAGTCTACAGAAAAACATCGCAGCCACCACTTATGTATTTATGAGTGCGTATAAATCAATCATTATAAGACCGAAGATGGCTACTGCATGTGATGGCTACCGCCCCTGCACCCTGACGTTTCAGCGGATCAGTCCATCACCTTACTGGAGGTGCTCCTCGGTCAGCTGCGTGTCCGTCTGCTGGCCATTGTGGATCAGCTGAGACCGAGCATCACCGACGAACAGATCTCCAACGCCCGTATCGACATCGACGAGTTCGTCGCCTGGCTGCGAGCGTTCCCGTCGGCGGACCGGACGAGCGCGGCAGGCATCCTCATCAACGACCTCACCCGGCTCTTCTCCGGCCTGCTCATGGAGCCAGGTGAGAGTGATAGGTTCAGCTGCCGAGCAGCTCACAGCATCGGGCGATTATTACCGTCGTGAATCGCTTATTGTTGGATATACGGAGCAGTTCATACGCGGAACAGTGGATCGTACATGGATCTTTGAAATTGTTTAATTAAGAATATAATCTAAATCCAAAGCCTACCGAAGCATGATATTTCGAGTCATTTTTCCATCAAGTCTACTGCAAGATAAAACAATCCAGCCGCCCACCTTATGCAATGTGTCGGTCCACCCGCTTGGCCTCCCGTAAACTGACTCCGCCCTGCTCCCTTTCCAGGCTGTACGGACGCGGTGGGCACCGTCCACCCGGTGGACACTCTGTACGTGGACAATCCAGAAGCACCAAACACCTGTTTCGTGTGCGCCAATCTGAGCTCTGGAGTCTCGCCGCTGGCAGTGATGAATATCAGCGAGTGTGGAGGCCCTCCACCGGCCGGCTGCACGGCCAGGCTGGAGCCCAACAGCTGCTGTCCGCGTGTCAGCTGCTCCCCAGGAGGTCAGTGGATGGGGTGGGAGGTCAAGGAGAAAGGAAGGCCAAGAAGGAAGGGAGGGAGGTCATTGAGGAGAAGGAAGTAACAGGGGTAAGATGTAAACGGGATCAGTGAATCGGGAGGGAATAACTGTGATAATGAAAACTTTTTGTTTCAGTAAGAGATCATTGTGCTGTTTACCGCATTGGACAGACCCCTATAAAATAAGGATTTATGAGCACGAAGTGGCTCATATTCGCGCGGAGCCATCATCCTCCCTCACTCCCCTGACCATTGACCTTTCTGCCATCAGCGGCTGCGTGTCGGGACGACCGCGGTGAGCTGCACCCGCACGGCTCCACCTTCTTCGACGACCCGAAGTACCCGTGCATCACGTTCAACTGCACTGACGGCGTAGCGGCTGTGGTCGACAAAGTGTCGTGCATGGCGCTGCCCGACGGCTGTTCCCCGTGGAAGATGAAGGGATTCTGCTGTCCTAAATCAGACTGTCCAGCCGGTGAGAGTCTGGGTCTTTTGTCCATGGAGTGATCCGTATAGACATTTGTCGCGCAGTCAGCAATCGCGGCTGGAACAGCGGCTGACTGGGACTTAACGGGCACCACCACGGGACAGGGTAAACCTGCCACCCTGTACGCACCGTTTATCGGATTCATTCATCGTTCTTACCCTTATGGCATCAGTTGTGTTTTGACGTAAATAGTTAATTCCCAATCCTATACCTACGTAGCCGTTGCTGATTTACCCTCCTTCCTCTTCCCGTTTTCTCTCGTTTCAGTCGAGTGCGTGCACGAGGGCCGTCGCCGTGACGACGGCACCACATGGCCGGCGGACCCGCTGCGTCCCTGTGTGGTGCACACCTGTCTGGGAGGTCAGGTAACCTCAGAGGACCGCAGTGACCAGTGTCTGCCACCACCGGCCAGCCACTGCGTGCCGCGACTGGTCGACTACCGCTGCTGTCCACAGTACGACTGTGTCAGAGGTAATTCGGGGAACGAGATGCTGGTAACGGGGAAAGGGAACAAGTAAACGGGGCACTGGTAACGGGTAACGTTTGCGTAATAAGTTACGCTTGGTGACGTTGCATCAATCATTACGTTAAGAGGCCTAGCAGTGTTCTGGGCCCTGTTATCTATTTTTTATGTGTTATCAGATTATGGAATCGAGTAGGTATATAAAAAAATGATTTTCATATTCGTGACTTTTCCGCTGCTTATGACGAGTATACCGTATCCCCGTCTGGTGTCTCCCCATCTTCCCTAGTAAACTCTATATAACGAATGATATCTGACTCCCCCAGTGAACTGCACGTACCGCGGCCGGATGTACCGCGAGGGTGAGACGTGGTCGGACGACCCGCAGTACCCGTGCCGGCGGTACCGCTGTACCCGCCGCGGTACGGAGCGCATACAGGACCAGACAGTGCTGTGCAAGGGTCGCCCCCATGCCGGCTGTACCGGTCACAGAGACATCGGACAGTGCTGCAAACAGTGGATCTGCCCGCGTAAGGACGTGTGAGGGGATGGAAGCTGCAATTCTGCGCACAGAAAACTATCTAAGTCTGCCTTTTTTGCAGTGTTTGATTAAATTCGTCTAAATTCAGATGATCATAAAACTAAATCTTACCAAGGATGATAGCATACATGAATATATTATAAACAGTAGTGAAAAAAATAATGTTTTTATCGTTTTCAAGCTATCCCTGACATAAGCCCGCGCAATGACGCCGTATTTGATCGTTCAGTAACCTCTGTGCTCCTGTGTTCCAGAATGCGAGCACGGAAACCGTACCTACTCTGAGGGGGACGTGTTCTGGGCGGACCCTGATCGCCGCTGTGTCCAGATGGCCTGTCGAGAGGGGGTCACGGTACAGCTCACCCCTCAGACAACCTGTCCTCCCGTGCCGGCCGGCTGTACCCCAGTGTACTCCGGTACCACCTGCTGTCACGTCAAGTACACCTGTCCCTTCTGCATGTTCGACCCGCAGGGGAACTTCATTCAGATGGTGCTGGAAGGCCGCGGGGACTCCGGAGCCTAGCGATGGGTGTGCGGTAGATGTAGTTTTATTTAGGGCTGTTTAGTGATAGCATTTGAGGACCTCGTGGCTTTGGAGTTTGGCTGTGTTTCTGTGGTAGACGCAACTGTAGAGGTGTGTGGTGAAAATACTGTGCTAGTGTGCACAAATAGACTAGCAACGGTACAAGTATGCAATATGAACGCTTGTGCTACCTGGCGGAGCTGGGCTGGTGCAAGAAAGATGTATGGATACTTGAATAACCAAGTAACTACATCGATGAACAGATGTTCCGATTCGCAAATGTTACCTAAATATCAATGTGATATAGAGGCATGTCGAAATCGTATAGAGACTTCAAATGATGAATGTCACTTATGTAATTTAGTAAGCGTGAATGCCATGAACTCTCAATGTGAATTTGGTTTGAATAAACTGGTGTAACGCTAAAGTTGTACTTTGCTGTAAGCTTCATTACACATGCGTATATAGGGATATTGCTGCGCTATATTCTTAAGAAAATCGTACCATTTTTGGAATATTGAAATTAATGTCCAAAGGCGACGGATGTTGCGGAAACGGGCTTGTCGAATTCTATAGAGTAATGTTTTTACAATACAGTGATATTATTCCACGAGCTTGAGGCGATTTGTCAAAACATGAATGAATCAGGAACATTCGGCCTTCAATGACGTGATCAGGGCTGAGGGCAGGGCCTCAGTAGCGGCGGAACACCTTCAATTAAGGGGGGGGGGGGGCACTTCCGAATTTTGGTCCCATTCTTTCCATGCAACACCCATAGGGCTAATGTTAAAATGACAAAATCAAGGGGGCACGGTGCCCTGGTGTCCTCCCCGTTCCGCCGCCTATGCAGGGCCTCATATAAGCCGATCCGTTTTCTGCACACTGCACTAGCCCCCTTCGCCATACCTACTAGAACTTCGTGGGGAATAAGGTGAACAGCCAAGTCAGGCCAGAAACCTAAAAGGGAGCGTCTGGTTGAGGTAAATAACTTCACCAAGACCGGAGCAGATTAGCCACTTTAGCATCATCGCGTTTTTCAGCTCCAGATGAGCACGAAATTATCAACCTTTTGTCTGAGAAAGGTCATGCTTGGTGCTGACCTCAGGTCAGGGTCAGGTCAAGTTCGGCTATGCCAGGATTTAAGAGGCTGGCTGAGGGAAGTCATGCTGCATGTCATTTGATAGAGTGACTCAATCTGAGCTCATTGGTGCGAAAAAGTCTCACCAACTAACCGAGACTAGTTTCCCGATGGCCTAGGGTGACCCTACTAGCCCGCGCACCGACGGGGGTCTGCGCCAACTTAGAACCGACCTAGTGTAATGTATTGGATCGTGCAAGATCTGAAATAAGCAATCATCGATCTATTGGACGCTTTAAGATTCGTTCATCCGAGCCATCATATAATTTGTGAGATCTCTTCTTGCCAGACAACCCGCAGAAACTTCCTCTGATCACACAATCTTTTGTATTGTTTGACGTTATCACTAAAATATTACATATCACAGAAAACACGATTTTCTTTTGCTATTTCAGGCCTAGCGCAATGTTCCACCCGCAACATGACAATTGATAGAATCAAGAAAAGAATGGGTATCAGATTCAGTAAAATAAAATCAAATATATCAAAGAGTCTCACACCAGCTCAGCGACTTGTTTGCTTGTTTCTTTGCTTTGTTGGGCCCAGTTCATGTAAGCCGTTTTCACGATGGGCTATCCGGCGAGTGCACCTTATTTGACCAAATCTGCACCTAATCGCTTTTACAGCAAATATCTTTATTTTATGAATTTATTTCAGTGTTTTAATCGATGATTCTCTCTGATAATATGACATAGCAGGGATATAAGCAATTAGTGCAGCCCTAGCTGATAGCTACTAAGAGACACACTGGACCTAATTTGACCAAATATGCACCTAATCTGCACCAAATGTGCATCAAATGTGTACCAGATGGCCGTCGTGAAAACAGCTATAGAGCCCCTTTGCTGCTAAGTGATACTTATTGGAAAGGGCGACCCTACAGATGGGTTCATATAGCCGCCCTTACACACCTGCACCAATCCCAAAAGTGTCCCTTTGATAAGTGGCACTTTGGCAAAGTGACACTACACTTGCGGATTAGCTTTTCATATATGAACTGGACCCTGCTCCTGGGGTGGAGCTACCCGCAAGGGGTTTAGATGACCGTCCAGCCCGGAGGAGGGATTCGAGGTGTGACGGAGAAGGATTTGAGTATCCTGGAGCTCAGCCGTATCCAACATTCCGAGTCGGCGGATGTTGTATCGACAGGAGTGGTCCGTTTTGCTGACCTCGTTTCCTGTCAGACAGCTCGCTCTGACCGGAAGGTGTCACATACCGGGCTGACTGGACGGTCAGAAGGGGAGAGGGGCTGGATCCGGCGACCCTGCGGACTCTACCAGACGGTACCTAAACCCCCTCCCCCTTCCCCCCTCCCCCCGGATGGTTCGGGAGCTGCCCGGCGGGTTACTCAGTCGGGTGCCGGTGCCGGCAGTGAGGACCGGCCCTCTGTGCAGTGACCTCGCCGACCTGCAAGACCGCACTTGGCCTCATTTTCGCTTATTTTCTGTCTTATTCAGCATGGTTCGTTGAGAATTGACGATTTTTTTTGCTTAAATTATTTAAAAAAATCAAAACTTTTGTGCAACATCGCGGCTTTTATTCGTCGGCTGCCCTTTTTTCCGAAAAGCCTCAGCGTAGCCGGGCCACACCAGCTGCTCCTGCGATGAAGTCGGCGTGGCAGCGGTTCTGTGCGGCGCTGTTCCTGACGGCTCTAGCGTCTGCCGAGCCCTGTCTGGACGGTCTGGGACGCCTTCATCCGGAGGGTGACATGTTCTACAACTTTCCCGATACCATACGGCCGTGCCGCGTCTACAAATGCTCAGCGGGACAGAAGGAGGTTATACGAGACACCTGTGGGGAGAAAGGTGAGGAAAACGCCGACGGAGAACCAAAAATGAATTATCCTGTTACATTAGGGGAAGTTGGGGCAATGCCGGAGTTGGGGCAAAGCCGAAATTCGAGATATTTCGAAAACTGTAAGACATGGATGCCACCTGTCAGTGATGCTCTGAAGCTTAAGTGACTACAATTATCGCATGTTTGTTACGAGTCGTCATTCGGAATACTTCGGCTGTGAGGGCGCCAAGAGCGTTTTCAAGGTACGCGTTCCTTGTACTACATGCGCCTTTGAAGCTGCATTTCTTACTCATTATGCTACCGTTTGTCTGGCCAATTCGGTCAAGTAATCTTCAGCATGTCTTTGCATAAGTGTGCTGCCTATTTGAAATTTATACGGCACGTTGAAAAGTTATGGGCCTGCAAATGAAAGTATGGCTGGCTGGGGTAATGCCGAAAACGTGGCAATTACGCACGTTAAAGCACGCTACGTGGACTTTACTGCTGTAGAATAGCAACGCGAATTTTAGTCACACAAATTACACTTTCAACCGACACAACGGCCTGTTACCTATAAGGAATTATTTACCTGGCATTTTCTTACTATATCACACAATTATAACTTTCAGTGTGCACCAAGCGTCCTCAAGCTCTTAAAACGCGTGTCAGCTTTGATAAATTATGGATAAAGTTTGAGATAAAGTGGCAAAACATCAATGTCGGCATTCCCCGTAGATCATTTCTCCCATTTTCGGCTTTCCCCGCAGTCCGGGGCAACGCCGAAAAAAATCACTTCTTTGATATTTTTAGTTTGTGCGCTTAACGGTATGCGAATTCATCAAATGCGCCTGGTATGTTTGAAAGGCAAAAGACTGGCCTCTCGAATGACGCCAACAAGAATAGCTTATGTTGTCTACCTTGCGTGCTACGGGCGTCAGAAAAAAAGTATTCGGCGTTCCCCCAACTTCCCCTACCTATGCCTAACCATGCAATGTGTGTATTTTATGGCTTTGATATAATATTCCGAATTTCCCTCGTAGGTAATTGCTGATTTATCCGACCTTCTGTCGTCAGAATATCATCCATCTGGCCTGTTCTCGCCTTCGAGTCTGAGGCCGGGTTTTGGACGTTTTCTCCACTCCAAGTCCAGCCTTCACTCTGAAGAAGCTGCTTCGCTGAAGCCGGCTGCTCCGATCGTATATCCGAACACATCACCAGTCCCCCGCCCTTTCCCTGTTCCCTCCAAATCCGACACGATCTCAGAGTCAAGTCCGCGATCTTCTTTCCAGTCCGGTCTCGAGACAAGCTCATCTTCCACTGCATCAGAGTCCGATTCTGATGATGTCTCATATGATTCTTCAGCTAGTCCCTCGACACCCCCTCCCTCTCCTGTGAGCGTCGTAAGCCGCCGTCACACAAATCTCCGGGGCCAACTTCAAGTCTCCTCCTGCACGGCTCAGAACGGACGTCGCTATTATGAAAGTCAGAGATGGTGGGAAACTACCGACCGACCGTGCCTCCACTATGTGTGCCGCTCCAGCCAGAAACTCCTGCTGGAGAATGTCACGTGTCCAGCCATTCCGGACGGCTGCTCCGCCAAGACGGTCTTCGGAAGATGCTGTCCAGAACCGACCAATTGCGGTAAGCTGGATCAAAGCTGGATCCACTGGATCTTACTGATTGGAATATTTGGGGAATGGTTCGAAGAGCTTTAGGTTGGTGCCTACTGCAATGCGACCTGAGTCCATACTCGAAAAAAAATATTTAAAGAGTTAAGTCGAAACATTTTCCGTTGCATTTCAAAAGCAATTATAGTCTATAAGCCATAACGTGTCGCAAAAAAATCGTATAATTTTTATATCCATCGTTTTGATTGTAGTTCAGAAACAATGGAGTGGCAATCGATGGAGGATGTTTCCACTGGCCCCACCACCCGGTAGTGATCTCTCAGTCTCAGATGTCCCTTCTCCGTCCCCAGTGTCCACCACACCACCTCCAGTGGTGCCTCAGACCTGCACCAGCACCAGCGGTCAGATCTATCTCTCCGGTCAGAGTTGGAGCGAGACAGACGAAAGACCGTGCCTCCGGTACACCTGTGTGGCCGGCGAGAGCCGGCTGGTGCAGAATATCACCTGCGACCCGCTGAGCCCGCTCTGTCTCGGCCGGATCCCGCTGTTCGGACGCTGCTGCGACAAACCGACCCGCTGCGGTGAGCGGGGATCCCGCTGATCAGTAGCCGATGTGTGTGGTTAGGTGGCTTTGTCTTAGCTGCCGAAACAAAATCGATTTCATTCATTTCATTCATTTCATTCATTTCATTCATTTCATTCATTTCATTCATTTCATTCATTTCATTCATTTCATTCATTTCATTTATTTCATTCATTTCATTCATTTCATTCATTTCATTCACTCGCGGCTGGTTAGCAGCTATTTCAGTTTATCCTGACGTGTGTGATGTTGGGACAAAAATGTACCTATCGATAAACGTGTCACGATAAGGATGAACGCAACAAACGGTGTTGGGATAAGCCGGAAAAAAAAACGGTTATGCATGCGCCCGTTTTCCGCAGGCTGTGTGGAGCGGACTGCAGACGGCACCGCCCAGGTTCGACAGCACGACGAGGTGTGGACCTCTGACGCTGATCCGTGTGTGACAAAGCGCTGTGACGAGGGACGTGTCACGGAACAGCGCCGCTCACCGCAGCCCCAGCCGTGCCCGGCGGCTCCGGCCGCCGGCTGCGAGCAGATTCCGCCACCGCCAGGGGTCTGCGCCTGTCCCACCTACCAGTGTGGTGAGTGGGCTTCGGACAGGGCAAGGTGGCGATCGCTTACCTCTTCGGGGTGATTATGTGAGTTATGTGTGCCTCTTCGACACATATCACTTGGCGTTTTGTTTCTTTGTTTTGTAAGGTTAGGCTCTTTTTGTCTAGCGACACCTTTACAGAGCCATAATAGACGGATTTGGTGCACAATCGCCGTTCGAAAGTTTGTTGTCAACCGGCCATTTGTCTGAGTTTTGCGGTGGCCCATGTCTTTGCTGCCCCATGTGTGCTTTTCCGCCAGTGTCCACAACTGAAGCTACCACAGAACCTCCAACAGCGGCTCCCAGTGTCCGACCGACCCCGGAACCCTCCACCGAGCCGGTCACCGTGACCAACGAGCCGCCAACTGCAACTACAAAGCGCCCAGGTGAGACGGTCTCTTTTGGTGTGACACTTGCTGCCCGCAGGGCTGGAGTGCCACCGACCGCAAGAGGTGCAGGCCGCGACCGCCGACGAACGAATATGCCTCGAAAGAATTGCTTTTAGAGTGAGATTCTCTTCACATATGTACATAATCGTCGTGAAACGTCTCATATAGGATTATTGAAACTGAATAAAGACTGATAAAGACATGGCGAACGTTTTCATGGCGAAACATTGGGCACCTACCCAATGTATTTGATCAGTTTGATCAATTTGGTATGCACCTGAAAAAAATGATAATGATGTCATTCACCTGTCGAACGAAATGTCCAATGTCCATTGCTTTGCTTCTCTGTTGTTAAATTCAATCAAATGGGTGTCCAAAAATCCGTCTTAAATAGGAGTAATGCACATCTCGTGCCCGCTAAACAAAGCGCTACATGCGTCAGCTGCACTTTCAGGTCATTAATGAAAGAAACTGCGTCGTTTCATGCCTTTGGTCGTTTCAGATGGCTCGTGCGAGTTTGAGGGCACGATCTACAAGAACCAAAGTAACTGGCAGGACGAATGTGCGAGCCATGTGTGCCTCGACGGCAAGGTGGTATCAGGGTTCGTCCAATGCCCAGGACCCATAGGCGTAAGTAGTGACTCTCAGAAGGCCGATAGTGTAGCGCAATGGCATCGGGTTTCATATATTTCCATTTCAGAAGCAAGGCATAGAAAGATAGAGTAAGATACAGGAATACAGTCTACATATTCCTTAAATGAACACGGTTGTTACGTAGCGTGGTGCTTATAACGCATTGCTTTGTGAGCTGTGATCTAGCCGGTGACCAGCCTATTACCTGACCCGTGACCTGACCTGTAATTTGACCTGTGACCTGACCGCTGACCTGCCCGATGACCTGAACTCTGAACTGACCTGTAACCTGACATGTGACCTGCTCTTTGACCTGTGACCGGTGACCTGTGACTTCTGAACTGCCCTGTAACTTCTAATCTGACCTGTGACCTGATCTGTGACCTGACCTGATTTGTGGTTTGTTCTCCGCGGCGCGCAGCCCAGTTGCGCACCGATCTACCAGCCCGGGAGCTGCTGTGTTCGCTGGTCCTGCCAGGGTATATACATCGACCACTGTACCGCTAAGTCATCGTATTCGTTCGTCTCTGAGCAACACTTGTGCTACCGTCCCGGCCTGCACGAGGGTCTCTGCTCCGCCACACGACCACCGGTACCCGGCCACTGCTGTCCCGTCTACGAGTGCTTGAAAAGTACGTCTGCCGGGGCTGGTCATGGCTGAGAAAAGTGGCGAGACTTGACCGCTTTTTTATCATATTCATGGTAACATGTTGAGGAAGGACTGACAATTTTTTTACGAAGAAGTATTTTTTAACCCTCGCCCGCACATGCCATTTTCCCATCCTAGAACGCACATGGGGGGGGGGGTGGTTGCCACCCCCCCCCCCGCGCCATTTCGTTCCTGTTGGAGATAGAGCTTAGCAGTAAAGACCAAAAAGATTCTTTGGGAAGAGACGAATCCAATGATACCCAGTTTTACCTTCTCAGGTCAGTCATTGACCTTCCAGGTCAGGTCAAACTAAAAAAATGTTGCTGTTTTGGGTCACCGTTGGATATCAAGTGCGCTGCCTATCAAATACCGATGACGATGCTGTTTTCTGGTGCCAAGCCAGCTAGAACCTCTTTGTCACACTATCCGACCAGAATTTTGCTGCTGAGGTCATTTCAGGTCAAGTTAGGTCAAGGTCAATTATATGTGTTTGTATGTCTGTGTGTGTCTGTGTGTATACTGATGTGTGCACCGATTGTTTTTGGGTCCATATCACATGAAATCATGATCTGAGAAGCTTTTACCAAAAATGCAGTCAAAAAACTTCACAAAAAGTAAATTCCGCTTGCCTAAAACGCAATTATCTTAGATGACCTAGGTTGACCTTGACCCTGACCTTGACCCCTGTACATCGTCGAACAACATGTTCCATGATAGGTGGGAGGTAAGACTGGCAAAAAAGGCCGAAATCAGGGTGTCAAAAGCTCACAAGGCCCATGGCAAACGCAAGATGTTGAGAATTGGCCATTTGGGTCATGACATGACCTGAAAAACAAGGTCATATCTCCGAAACCAAAAATCACAGAAACTTGAAATTTTCAGTGGACATCAAGAAAGGATAGACGAGCAGCTATACGAAAAATCAGCCTTCTAGCTCTAAAAATGTTGAGTGCAGAGCAGAAAGACTGCCTGGGGGGGGGGTGGCAACCACCCCCCCCCCCCCCATGTGCGGGCGAGGGTTAATGTTCGCTTCGCTACTTATCATGGCATGGTGATGGCTAACAGCTTATGATTAAGTATAGAATTGACATTCAATGGAAGTCAGTGCGTCAGTTCTGGAACATGTATCAAACGCTTCCTTTGGTTCTCTTATAAGGCATTCGTCAATCAGCAAGAAGAATAGAATTACTGGGCCTCTAACTGCCGAGACTACCGATTATTATATTAGCACCAAATATCACAAATACCGCCCGCAATGTTATAAACAGCGACGTGATTTTGCTGCCGCAGACTGTGCGGACCAGAGCGGCCAGCCCCACCAGCACGGTACCTCCTGGGAGGAGAACTGCTCCATCTACAGCTGTGACAACGGCACCGCCACTAGCTCTCCCAAGGAGTGTCCACCACCGGGAGACAGTCAGTGCCGACGGACCAACCCCGGCGAGTGCTGTCCGATCTACGACTGCGGTGAGCAGTGGGAATGGCCAACAACACCTCACAGCAGGAAAAATAGTGTAGCTAATGAGGGGTGTCGATGCAGGAAGATGTTTCCGAATTCGTTTACACCATGATCCTATCGACTAAAGCATATCCTATTCAAACTTAGGTATCTGAAACTGACGGTATGCCTACTCGATTTTTATATATTGTCTGGACTAGGTAAACACTTACCTGTAACTTATGTGCGATCCGTGATCGTTGAGATCCGTGACCTCATTTTGATCACATCTCATGGCACATCCAAACACAACATAACATATATGTTAAGCACAACCACCGCACCAAGGCTGCGCAGTGCGCACTCCCCAATCCGCCCATGATGACGACACTGCATCCCCACCCCGCGGCAGGCTGCATCGATGATGACGGTACACGTCACGAACACGGCTCGCACTGGACTTCCAACTGTCAGGAGCTTGACTGTAAGCACGGCATCGCAAACAGTCGGCCGGTAACCTGTCCGGACGCTCCGCGACCTGACTGTACTCCGCTACCAATCACGGTCGGCCGCTGTTGCCCCGAGTTCAACTGTAGCTGCGATGCGGTTACGTGCCCGTCGTATCCGACGGCGTCTGGTTGTCAGCAGAGCGGTACCAGTGCAGACGGATGCTGCACGCTCTACACCTGCGAGGGAGGTTAGTGGAGGGCTGTTACTCGTGAGAGGGAGGTTAGTGGAGGGCTGTTACTCGTGAGAGGGAGGTTAGTGGAGGGCTGTTACTCGTGAGAGGGAGGTTAGTGGAGGGCTGGCCTGTTACTCGTGAGAGGGAGGTTAGTGGAGGGCTGTTACTCGTGAGAGGGAAGTCAGTGGAGAATCGTCAGTAGAAAATTGTTTTCCGTGAGACGGAGGTCAGTGGAGAGTTGTTTCTCGCGAGAGGAGGTCAGTGGAGAGCTGTATGTATTCGTGGGAGAGAGGTCAGTGCTATCAATGCCCAGCCGATTTAAATACCAATCACCCAAATCAGTCTTCCGCCCGGTAGCCGCGTCGTCTGATCGACTATGACCTGCAGCATGTTGACCCCGCTGACCCGTCTGCAGACTGCAGGGACGACCTGAACAGGGTGCACACCGATGGCTCGAGCTGGTTCGTCGGCTGTGCCCAGTACCGGTGTTCCGCCGGCAACATTGAGCCTGTGACAGAACCATGCCCTCCGGCGCCCCACGAGAACTGTACAGCCATCTATCTAAAAGGAGACAGCGACGCAGACGGTGATGTACCACAGCCCGTTACAGCCCGCGATGCTTATTGAACTTGGGACTCATTGAAAGGGATGGAAATAGGTATACTTTGTCTGATAAAACGCATATGCAAGGCGTAGTTTTTTAACAGCAACCAATGTTATAAATAGGTGAATATATCTTTAAGCCAATTCATGCAGGTGGCATATAGTGCAAACGATGCGCGCAGGTTATTTGTGCATTTTTCTCTCTTTGTAGCTGAGCGATTCTCCTCTTTGCCCTAATATGCAAAACTTTCATCCAGCTTTTGCTCGACGATATATGTATTGATTATGTATGTAGGTATGTAGAACAGTAACTAGATACATCAAACTATCACTTCCTCGTCATAACTCTCTCTCGTTTCGTTCAGGTAACGTCTGCTGCCCGATCTATGACTGTGCCATCCCGGAATGTGTACTCGGAGAGCGCTCCTTTGATGGGTGCAACCACTGCCAGTGTCTCCACCCCGGCAAACTGATCTGCACCGAAAATATCTGCACAGAGAAGGGTGAGGTGACTTCGATTCAGCCAATCGTTATAGAAGCTTGACAACTCTTTTGCATATGATACTGCAGGATGATGCATAATTTATCATTTTGTCGTTGTATACGTATGTTTTGCCAATTTAGAGCGTTGCCTTTACGGTAATGTGTTTTTTTTTTTACGTTGCATTTATAAGTTGTTGCCTTTTTTGCTTTAGTATCACTGGAGCATCCCTTTAACTATATTGCTTGCTTGCCTATATGTCATAAATTCTTTCGTCCTAAGTTTCTCCCTCGGGTTTTCTTAAATCATAACTATGTCACAGAAATGCTTTACATCGCTTCAATGTTTCCGCTCCTCAGGGTGTTCCATCGATACTCTAACGAACGGCGTGGAGACAAAGGAACACGGGGCTACGTGGAGTTCTAAGGAAAACCCGTGTTATGAATACACGTGTCAGTACGGAGTCATACGCAACAAGTGAGAAAATTTGATCGATGATGATAGGACTTTAGCCATTCATGATCTAGACTTATGTCATGATGATTCGCTGTGAATTTCCAGGAATGACTAAAGCATGCTAGCACGGTCCATACCTATGTCCGTTTTAACCCTCGCCGGCCGAGGGGGGGCGGGTGCCGCCCCCCCCCCATAGGGTTTTTTCGCGATAGCTCCGAACACGCTGGCGATAGAGTGCTGAAACTTGGCATACCTGACCTTTGATCCAAGCCGCATCTTTTGACACCAACCGTATTTTTGGGTCAGGTCAGGTCACTGACCTATGACGTCATAAGTGAACCTCTGCACGGTCTTCAGATGTCGCAACTTCGCAACGCCCTCACTGCCAGAGGAGATGTCACAGGGAAATGAAACTTGCAGGATCTAGTATCCATTATGAGTCTCATAACTTGTATATCTCGGATTTTTCCTAAAGGTCATATGAGGTCAGGTCATTTTCGTGACCTCACCATTATAAGTCAATGGGGAAAAATGAAAACTGCTATTCTGGCGCCGGGAACGATCTCCAACTATCTCAAGCACACAGAATCGTGATTTGATGCACTCCTTGCAAGGTTAGATGCGTCACTTTTGCAATGTTGACCTTCCGTGACGTCATTTATGACGTCATCAACGTCATATTAGTTTTTCGTCAATAACTCCCGATAAAATTGAGCTAGCGAGTCGAAAAAGCCACCAATGGACTCAGGAAGACCTGCCGAATCGAATGATATGCGACATGACCTCTTTCGACCAACTTCGTGACCTGGGGGTGCTGACCTGACCTTGACCTGAGGTCAACACCCCAAGTTGACCTGACCCAAACAAAAAGTATATCATTCGACGCGCCTGAGTGAGGCGAACACGATGCTGCCAAAATCACGGCTCTGCGGCCGTTTTTTTGCGAAGTTATTCACCACAAACTGAACCGTACCCTGGGGCACTTGACCTGACCTCAGAGGTCACCGGTTTACCTAGGACCTTAAAATCGGGTACCGGTCTCTGCGTCTCGTAACGGCGCACACGCTCGTTTTTTCCGCGACGCTCTAGCTCCACCAGGGGCGAAACGGCGAGGGGGGTCGTACCCGCCCCCCCCCCCCCTCGGCCGGCGCGTATGTAGAAAACCAATAGGTCCGGCGAGGGTTAATCACCGTCTGTATTTTCCCCGATGCTTGGACCCTCACCATTATTCCCCGGTCGGCAGAGTGAAGCAGTGCCCACCGAAGCCAGGTGCCCACTGCACTGAGAAGCCCATCACCGGCATATGCTGCCCAGACTGGGAGTGTCCCAACAGTGCGTGCCCGGAGGGTGAGCTCACTTCACCACGCTCCTGGCAAGACGACTGCAACATTTGCACGTGCACTGATTCGGGTGTGCTGTGCACAGACTTTGACTGTCACAAAAGTAAGTGGTGTGCATTACCTACACTCGCACTCCTACCTACTTGAAAAATGAATAGGGCATCGTTGCGGCTCATTTTCAGTAGAATTCCCTGCAGTTTTTATTTTCTCTGCTATTCCAACCGATATTAGTTGAGACTAGAGAAATTTCCTCGTGTCATAATGGCATTATTTTTCCCCGGTCTAATAGCTGTGCTAACCTGAATTGAAAACATTTTTGAAAAAAATGTAACTTTTAATGCCTATTACCTATAAACTTTCCATTGTTTATCTAATGCCTCAAGTCTCAACATTAAAACAAACAATATGTAAACATTTATACGTACCTCAGCATTACGATAGGCGTTATCACAAGTGTATTCGCGGCCATTGGGGCGACGTAAGAAAAGAAGAAACCAACTGGCCCCAAGAACTTTAACTTATCAGTTAGCATGCACCTTTTCCTTGATGTGTAGAGAATTTACCATTATTTGTTACAGAAAATTGCATTTAAAATCTTCCATTTATGCTTTTTTCATCGTTTGCACGATCTGTTCTTTTACTAAGCTAGAAACACTAATTAGAAATAGTTCCCGCATCATCAAGAACAATAGGGAAGGCTTGAAGTGAATAAAATAATTTAAACGGTTTTGTACTCTATGTGAAGGCACTTCTAAAATTACCTGTAGAAATATTGAAGGCAAAAGTTCAACCTTTTCACAAGACGGATGTCTATAAACATATTTAACCCTCGCACGACCAGGCCATGGATGATATAACACTGGATTGGTGTCTCGTGGAAATTAACCCGCGCCCTGCTGGGGGGGGGTGTTTGAACACCCCCCCTTGTGGTTTTTCGCGAATATCTCAAAAACGGCGGCGCGGAGCGCCGCCGTTTTTGGTACACCTTATCATACATCAATTCTACACATGTTGTGAAATTTTCAGACCAAGGTCATTCAAGGTCAGGTCACCAGGTCACTTGAAGTGACCTCAACTCATAAAAACTTTCAATGTCTGTCATAGCTACACCGAGTGACCGATGGCTTTGAAACTTTCAGCGATTGCTAAGAGCAATAGCACGTACAAAATGTATATCTCAGAATTTTGATATCGATGACCTAAGGTCAGGTCAATTTTGCGACCTCCCCATTATAAGTCAATGGGAGAAAATTGAAATGCGCCTCTTTTGGATGAAAGACATTATAAACACTCCCAAACACCGAATTACAAGTGGTTTAGACGCACTGAACTTGAAAATGGTGTCCGTGACCCTTGTTTATGCCCTGAGGTCATCTTAGGTCACGAATGGTATCTAACAGTTTTTCGCAAATAACTTTTGATAGAGGCATGCTAGAGCGATGAAAACGCCTTAGATGTGTTCAGCTCGACGATACGGATCGACTGATATGCAACATGACCCTTTCCGGTCAGGTCATGACCTTGACCTGAGGTCAAATTTTCAAGTTGACCTTTCAAGGTCAAGTTATAGTTCATTCGATGCGTCTTGACGAGGGGAACACGATGCCGGTAACAGTAAGCTCGTACAAGGCTTGGGTCAAAAGTTATTGCAGAAAAACTGTTTTCGAAAAAATCGGCTATTTTTGCAGTTTTTGCCCCCTGCAGGCAAAACCGTTGACGTTAGGTCAAATCTGAGAGGATTATTCAGAAAGGGCGTTAATAGGGCTATCGAATGCGCTTTTCCGCGGCGCTGTAGCTCTATTAGTTCCCGAGTTATGCGTGGGCTTCTTGGAAATTTTCGACATTCGACCTGGAAATCGGCGAAATTTTGCCTTCAATGACCTCTGGTGACCTGACCTTTGACCTGACCAAAAAATTGACCGAAGTGATTTCGTCATTATTTTTGACGCTCTTTCGAACGCCGCCTTCCGCGTATCGCTACGTGGCCCAGGAGCCGAGTTACAAGGGGGGGTGTTCAAACACCCCCCCCCCCCCAGCAGGGCGTGGAAATCCAGGACCCCCAGCCGGGCGCGGGTTAACCCGCGCGGGGCTGGGGTCTCCAGCCGAACGCGCGGGGCTGGGGGGGGGGGGTAAATTTTACCCCCCCCTGTTATCTCCCGAACTAATGGTCCGATTTGGAAAATTCAAACGCCAATCGAAAGCTCTCATCACGAACCACTAAAAACATGTACTAAATTTAAAGTTTGAGGTCAAGGTCAAGGTCAGGTCAAGGGTACAAATTGCAAGTTTCTACAGTATCGGCCTTGCACCGTAGTTGCCGAAGAATGGAGTCATGGACTGAGACTGATCGCCCAAAACGTGTTCTTAGGCTACCAAGACAATATTCGTTGCATACAATATCATTCAGAGGTCAAGGTCAAGGTCAGGTCAGGTCAGGTCAGGTCACCAAAAAACAAAATATAGAAAAGGGCATGTGCGACACATGTTTTATGGGTCATTTTACTCATAGAATTCAATAGGCACACTCAATAAGTGATATGGACCACCTCTGGATGAATTTCAGGTCGAGGTCAGGTCAAGGTCAGGTCAAGTGAGGTCAAATTTTGAAGTTGGTTGTTAAGGCCTAAAAAGGTGTCTAACTGATGCAGTTTTTCACGGCGAATCGAATGGTGCTATTTTTGTTTCCGTACGAGGTCTAGAACTTCCAAAAAAGTCATTTTTCAAAAAAATTGTGTGTCGTGACGTCATAAAATTTTGAATAACTCCCACATTTTTTAACCGATTTTTCTAAAATTTGGTATGTAGGTGCACATAGACCACTTCTCTGACATATATTCCGGTTTTTTCGATATACTCAAAATTTTGGATTTTATAATGATTTTCCCAAAAAAGTCAGTTTTTTGAAAAAATTTAGGCCAAAATCCAAAATTTTCAAAAAACCGAGATAGCCATTTGATAGACAGAGTAAAATTACGTATAACCTTTTTTGTTACGTCTTGATTCCTTTAAAAATAAAGATGTTAGCGGCGTTTGAACTTTTGCCGTTTTTGATGCGAAAATGGGGAACATGACGTCACTAAAACGTCAATTTCTCAAAAAATTTCCGACGGATTTTGCTCAAATTTTCAGGGAACGTGTCAAATTGATGTAAGAAAAGGTACTGAAAGTTTGGCGGCGCTGCGCGCCGCCGTTTTCGAGATATCGCAAAAATTCGCGAGGGGGGGTAAAATTTACCCCCCCCAGCCCCGCGCGGGTTAACATTGGGATCCGCGACATTGGGATCAGGCCTGCCATCTAGCGAGAGAATTATCGTAAGTTAGGAGCAAGCCGAGTGAACGCCATCTCTCAGCATTATGACACACGTGGGTGTGGTGTGTTAGTTGGCTTGAATTGCATATTCCCACGAGTTGGGGGTAATCTTACTGGATCTGAGACGACAAAAAACGTCTTAACCCGGCGGCCGCTGGGCCTCCGCGCCACCCGCCGGCCGCTGGGGGGGGGGGGGGCATAAAGTTGCCCCCCCTTTACTTCTGCGACGATATCGTCGCAACGCGAAGAGATAGAGAAGCGAAACTTTGCACACATCTTCCTGAATACCTAGCCGAGGTTGTGTCCAAATTTGGTGTCGATCCCATTTGAAATGACGTCACAGTGACGTCATAAGTGAAATTATAGATTTGCGACTCTCATATTCCTCACGATACATCACATATATGGGACCGAATATAAAGGGCCGATTATTGGTCAGAAACTAGATGGAAGTGTAGTAAGATGTTTTAGGATGACAGCAGGTGCTGTCTAGTTCATTTACAGTCGAGTTTCATGCTCAGCGTCATCAGAAACGGTCCATATCGGAAAACGACAAAACTTTATGACGTCACTGTGACGTCATCTTAGGTGCTACAACCACCAAACTTTCCTCAAACATTGCCTAGGTATTCATTTGAAGCTATGCCAAGTTTCACGTTCGTAGCTCATCAGGTTTCGGAGATATTTCACAAAACGTAAAGGGGGGGCAACTTTATGCCCCCCCCCCCCCCCAGCGGCTCGTGGGTTAAATGCTTGAAAGCCAAAAACGTCAAGCAGCCTTTAGGTAATAACGAAAATAAAATGCGCAAGACGGTGTGTATTGAAACGCCCAGTCCCATCGGCTTGTACGACCTTTTATATAGTCATTTACTCACAATGGTACAGCAGTTTGACAATATGTCACTTACATATTTGGTAGGCTTATTCCTTCTTCTCCGAATTTTTTCGCCCGATTTTCTTCATCGTAGTTAATGTTACGGCATGTGTCACGTGCCAACTTAGGGGTGTCGAAATTGTTCCACATAAAGTAACTCCGCAATGGCTGGGCCAATTACAGTAAAACTTCGTCAATAGTTAGGGGCACCCAGTGGCCAATGCATTTCCATGTGTCACTATGGGGGTGCTACTGCACGTGCGCACGTGCGGGGTGCCGCTTCATCTCAAGACCGGCTGGGCGGATAACACTCAAGCTTGGTACACAAATGTCACATCGATACTCGCACTGCATTGATCAGTGCTTACATTGGTGCAGAGCTGTTAGGAAAACGATGAAATGAGATGCGTGGTGTTTACATATGCCTTTCTTTTCCAGCAGCTGATTGATTCGCAACAGGAGATCCTTGTTTGCGAAGGCTTCGTCTCCTTTTTCCACCCCTTGTTTAAAATAACATTAACAATGTACGAAGAAGATCACACATAAAGGTTGTTTTAGGCGGCTATCTTGGGCCAGGGCTGCGAAGTTGTAGTCAGAGCCAGCGGTTCTGTTCCGACTTGGAGTCGGTTGATTTTTAAAAGCTGTAGTCGGCATGGGTGGAGAATGTTTGAAAAAGTTACCCCGGCCGGTGGCCGGTAGTCGGAAAGACGATATGCTCACGTTGTTGTCAATGGTCACCAAAAACAAACCCCTATTCTGAGATATATGATTTCAAGCTTTTACGACTAGACATCTTAATTCAAGGTAGGTACGTTTTTCGGCTACTAGTCGTTTATTGTTTTCGTTTCGAATTTTCGACCTTCGCATCGAGGTCGTTGTCAAGAAACCTGCCCTATTCTGAGCCTGGGAAATGGAATAATGGATGATGTGTTTGTTCAAGGATGAGCGTTGTATCCGACATCGTATCATTCATAACATCTTTTGGCATGATTGAAAAAGCGATTTTCTTTTTGAAGTGTTTTTTTACTTAAACGTATTCGGTTTCATCCATACCCAAACCATATCATATGCCATTATAAGTAAATGTTACGGTTTCAGCTTTTTATTGTGTCTCAAAATACCTATTTACAAAACACGACAGCCCACCTCGTAGGTTTACAGAGAAAACTGAACGTTCGAACCAAAACATAAAAATGGGTCACTATGTACTCACTGACATCCAGGAACACAGCCTTTTCCAATGTTGGACGGTTCAACCTCTTATAAGACAAACAGGGAGTCGATCCAGGGATATCGACCGGTCTTGGTCTCGTAGCTTAGTCGATAGAGCGTTGTACATACACTTGTACTCCGCGTGGCGAGAGCATGCGTCCCGGTTACAACGGTCCCGGTCCCGTCCCCTAAACAGGTATGGTTGCGGTAGGTGGCAGGCCAGTCGAAGGCAGTGGCCGGTGAGGTCAGCAGTGGTTCTGAAAAAGTGAGCCTAAGGTGCGCCAAATTTTAGAAACTGAACACGATTTGAGAGCAATCTTGACATTGGCGACCACAAATGGTTCCTACTTCCTAGGGTTGGATATTATGGTAAGCGAATACCTACCTGATTTGCAATATTACGTCCATGGCAGTCAACATCCAAAGAACGATAGTTGTTTTCGTATGGAGACAGCTTTTAGGATCTACAAGTGTGGAAAAGCTACCCCGGCCGCGCCGGGGTAGGCTGAAAGTTACCCCGGCCACGGCCGGGGTGGCCGGGGCAGGTTCTCCACCCATGGTAGTCGGAGTATGAGTCGAGAACGTCACCGAAAAGTCATCGACTCCACAGACTTACCAGGGCTGCAGAGTCGGAATCAGAGTCGGAGTCTGTGTGAATTGGCAGTTCTGCCCGGAGGAGTCGGAGTCGATATTTGGATACCGGAATCGGAGTTGGAGCCAAAGTCACTGAAATTTCATCGACTACGCACCACCGGTTGGGTCCTTTTCATAGAGCGTCTTGAATGACATATTGAGCGGCAATGACGTTAGCAATTCCGTTTAAGTTTTTCATTAGACTTATAGATAGTACTTACGTTCGTTTTGTTCTTTGATCGGACAATTTGTTTGATTTAGGCCAAGTAAAGACTCATGTGAAAAATAGCGAAAACAACACGTGCTGGCGAAGTCTCCAATAACTCCCTGTTTCACGATTTAATGAGGAAATAACATGGAACTGCTTATCTTATTACTGACCCTGCACATAAATCTATTAATTTTTTCGCTTTTACTGACATATAAAGACATAAACTTTTGAAAAATTGCACAACAAGCCTGCAACTACACCACACTCCCGTGTGTCACAATGCTAATCAGCGGCGTTCACTCGGCTTGCTCCTAACTTACGACAATTCTCCCGCTAGATGGCAGGCCTGAGCTCAATGTCGCCAAAAACTGCAAAGACACCAATCCATTATTATCTCATCCATGACCAGGCCATTTCTCATAACACGAACAACCAGGGGGGGGGTTGTTACGACCCCCCCCCTGGCGTTTCGAAACGGAAGGTCGTAGAGCTTAGCGGAAAAAACCAACGGATTGCTCTCAACGAGATCTCGCGATTGGTGGTATATTTTTTGGTCCTAGGTCAACATTTGACCTACTTTGGACCGGTCAAAGGTCAAATTTTCGGAAAAAATAGACTTTTTTCAACTTTCGGCGGCGATTGCGGCAAAACGGTGGGAGATATCGACTTGAAACCTTCACTATCGTGTTCCTTGATCAATTCTCTATCGTTTGGTATGTATTTCGTTTCCCTAGCTCTAAAAATGGCGCGTTGGGAGCGCCGGAAGTCGGCAAGGTCACAGTCGGCGGCAGAAATTCGAAAAATCAAAATTTAAATTTTTGAAATCTGATTGTATTTTTGGATTTGTGAGGTCCATTTGCTCCCTATAGAAGCTAATATTGCTGCATATTCCCATTGAGGTGACAAGAATTAGCAAAATAGTGGTTCGGGCGCTTTTCAAAAATAGTACCGGACGCTGTTCCTCTTGTGACGTCATAGCTCCGTGACCTGACCTGACCCGGTCAAATTTCTTATACCATATGATAGCCAATACTTGCCCCAACATGCATGGGAAGTTTCATCACGATCCATCAACCGATGTCCGTACCACCGGCAGGAAACCTCGGGCGTTGGCACTCAGTTTGTGAAAATCCGGCCGGAGGCTGTACCTCTTATGACGTCATAACTCCGTGACCTGACATGACCCGATCAATTTTTTTTCGGCAAAAGATGCGCAAAGGTTGCCCCAGAGGGTATTGAAAATTTCAGCCCGCTACGACAAGCCGTTTAGCGTGCACTTCGAAAAAACCTCAGGGGGGGTTGATACAACCCCCCCCCCCCCTAGGCGTTCTAGGGTTAACTTGTGACAACTCAGCCGGTATTTCGTCGCCTACAGCCCAGCTTTCCCTAGTGACCGATAGAGGCGCTGGTATCAATGTCCGCCCGTGCCGCCTAACGATCTTATTATTTGCCCGACAGAATGTGAGAAGGACGGTGATCTGTACCCCACCCAAGAGGAGATCCCGGCGACCAACCAGTGTGAGGAAAGAATCTGCATTGATGGGGTGGCCGTATCCGTATACGAGTCCTGCAACCTGCCCCCGGCGAACGCCACCTGCAGGTGAGGGAACTCAATGGCGTGTGGGAGCTCAATGTGTTTTCGTCATCACATCGGTCTATGCAAGCACACTCAATAGAAGCAGAATGCAGGGATGCTATTATTCCATCGCTGTTGTGTGGAATCAAGGGCTAAATTAACTATAGGTGTGTAAGGTGTTGATCACGAGTCACGACAGACTGAAGAATTCTGGGAGCTCATATGGACGAGTAAAAAGGTGGTCGAGCATCTAACGTTGCATGTGCTGTATATTTTGTATAAACACTAATCAAGGCTCGGATGATCCTTAAAATTGGCCAATGTCTAAACTAGCAATAAGCACTCGTAAGCCCTCCGCAACTAGTTAACATAATGCGGAGATTCACCTTGCGAGATCTCACAGTGCAGTCATTATAACAATCATCTATTTTACAAAACTCCCACCGTCCACAGTACCCCGTACCTCCCGTGTACCTGTTACATGTACTTACCTTCTGCAGCGCGGCAGAGGCATTCAGCGGCGACTGCTGCCCCTCCTGGTTTTGCACCGGTCTGGAGGGCATACCGTCTCCCTGCCAGCCAGGCCAACTGTACCAGGGTGACCAGGAGTGCATGTTCTGCGAGTGCGTCGACGCCCAGGGGGCTGAACCGGCGCAGATGGTTTGCTCCAAACGGGACTGCGTGCGTGCCGGTGAGTTTGGCTTATCCTGGCGTTAATCTTGGCTAATTGTTAATATTGGCTGACCTCTAACCACTAACTTCTGGCCACTGGCCCTTGGCGTCTGTCCCATGGCCCCTGACTACTGACAGCTGACCTGTCTCCTTAACCCTGACCTCTGACCTCTGACCCTTGTCCCCTGTCCGATGATCACTGAACCCTGTCTCCTGACCACTGCTCCTGACCTCTGTCCTCCTATCTGACCTCTATCCTTGACCTCTATCCTTGACGTCTATCGTTGATCACTAACTCCTGACCTCATAGCCTCTGCCCCTTTCCTCTGACTTATGCCCCTTACCCCACCACGTCTCCAGGCTGTGACGACGATGGCACGTACCACGAGCACGGAAGCGTGTGGATCTCGGCAGACCCGTGCAAGCAGTACGCCTGTGTCAGCGGCAGAACCATTACGATGGAGGTGAAGTGTCCATCGACACCACCGGGCTGTATGCCAGTGCCTAACACCGGAAGGTGAGGTTAACGGCCGGCTGATGACGCTGAACGCTTATAGGTCAACAGGGTAAGACTGGTGAGCGTTCGGAGCTGTCAGTCTCATCATCTTCTAGCTGGAATTTCTTTAAAAAAAAATACATGGTAATAACCAAAGTGAACTTGTCATATTGATATGTCCGACGCTGCACATGAGATCGCTCGACTTATTCATAGACCACTCAGTCGCTTGGTTCACCAGCAGTAGATATGCGGTGTCAGTATACCCGTTGCAGGTCGTTAACCGCACGGTTGACCTGTTAAAGGTGAGTTCAGGTGACGCAGCTGGACGAGTCCACCTGCAGGTGCATGAGGTCAAAAGGTCAGATGCTGATAGGTCGATTGAGCTCCGCTATTTCTCGGTCTCAACTATAGTTGGCTGAGGGTAGGAAAGGAACCATTGTGTCTCGGTTTACTGATTCGCTGGAGCACAGACACATAGTCAGCAGAAATGATATATGATTTTATGACCCCTGGTTGTGGCACCATGCTTCTGCAGGTGTTGTCCCCTGCTGTACTGCGGAGAGCCATGTGATTACGGACCGGAGCCGCGAGCCCACGGGTGCAACTCGTGCGTATGCCGCGACGGAATCGAGTACTGCACCACCGACCAGTGTGATGACTGATGGTACCAGCGTCGGGGGCATTGGTGGTAACGGTACGCAGTGGATCGGTGTGAGAAAAATAAACTTATGAAACTGAATGAATGAAATAAATCGTGTGGTAGACGAATAGAGGTAGATTAAAAAGTGTATTTTTGCAATAAGTTTCCACATGTCAATTTCATTATATTATTTCCGGAACAAAATCAGAAAAGATATGTAAAAGTCAAATTGACCTTATATTTTCATATCCCTTAAAGTATTCCGACATAATGGTTTTAAAATAATGCAACTTCGCAGGTTTTGCCTTATTTATAACAGTTTTTCTCTCCTGTTTCATGATATCTTGACACAGACGAGTCTGGAATCGCAGCATAGAAGGTTGTCCTCTAGAACGATGAATGGTAGCTCTGACCTTAGGTAGCTTTCGCTAAGCGTCAGTCAGCGTCATATACTTTTAAATGGTGATAATGTATCAACTATCATGCTCGCGAATATGTGGTGACGTATGGGTCGTCACAATCAACCTAAGAGCTGTTGCGGATTTTCGCGATGCTGGTAATGGATGATGTGAAAAGTAGCCAGCTTCTTGTGTTGTGCTCCTGGCTGCAGGCTCATTCCAATCGTCATCAGACTTATTTGTAAATATTGTGCGCCTGCCTTGTTTGAAGAAAAACGCAGTGGGAGCTTGACAAGTGTTCAGTTTAGAGTTCTGGGAGCGAGATAATTATTTGACGTCTCCGAACTTAAAGCTGCCTACATTAGCGATATTCGACATGTTGTGTGGCATGTGCATGGTGTAGTGTGTAGCCAAGCTACTATTTTAGACGCTATTTCGGTCCTAATGAGACAGTTATGGGAGATGTTGTATTGTGACCGTGGCACCTATCTGTTATGTTCAGCTTAAACGTATAATACAATGAAGTTGTTGTAAGGATTGTATGTCTGTGGATTATTCTGACACAGAGCTGCACTAGGATATAATTGTAAACGAGTTTTAAATGGTTCTCCTGTGTATATAAGGTTAGCCCTCGCCCCGTTGGGGGGGCCATTTTGGCCCCCCCTGTGGTTTTTCCTGAATAGCAAGAAAACGGCGGCGCGCAGCGCCGCCAAATTTTCAGTACCTTCCCGGGCATCAATTTGACACCTTCACACCAAATTTCAAGTCTTAGGTCACCTTAGGTCAGGAGTTATTGAGGTCAAACTGAGGTCATGTTCGAGCAAAAATGAGCAAAAAACATGCAATCTTGAAACGCTCACCAAATCTACAGTTATCAAGCAATTTCAAAGTTCTTTATATGGTCTAGTAGACAAAAAGCGGCGCTACAAAACTGTTATCTCGGATTTTCAAAATTTTTGGTTTTTGACCAAAAAAAATTCAAAAAATTGATTTTTTTAGAAAAACTTTGAAAAAATCCAAAAAAATTCCGAATTTCGAAAACACCGGAATATATGTGATAGTCCCAGCGCTCTTCTATATACATACCAAATTTCAGATCGATATCTCGTTTTTTGGCCAAGTTATAGCGAAAAAACTGTTCAAAAATGATGACGTCAAATTTTTGAACTCAATTTTTAGCAATTCTAGACCACGTACGGCAAAACAAAGACCACCATTGAACTCCCCGTGACGAGCTGCACCGATTAGATACCCATTTTATGCAAAATATCAACTTTGAAATTTGACCTTTTTTGACCTGACCTTGACCTGACCTCCACCAGAAAGTGACCTAAACCGTACCTGATGGTCTTATAACCAACACCATTGAGTTGGAAATGAAAAACTGGCCATAAAACATGCATCGCACTTGCAGCTGCAGCTGTTGTGTGAGCTGTTAGCTTATTTATATACTTACACTGTATTAATATATTGAATTGCTGTAACTTAACCCGCGCACCGACGGGGGTCTGCGCCAACTTCGCACCGACGGGGGGGGCGGATGACCACCCCCCCCCCTGAGATCTCGAGAACGAAGCAAGATAGCGACAAGCGGTAAACGGCATCGGATACGCACGGACAAGGTCTACAATTTTTACAAGGTTATTTTCAGGTCAGGTCAAAGATGACGTCACAGGGGTCGAAAAAGTCAAAATGGCGGCGCTAGATATGGACAGAGTTTTTCTCGACTAACTTTCGAATTAGTCAAGATAGGAACAAACTAAGGGCATCATCGTGATCCTCTCGTCAATCCGCATCGAATGATATATATGTTGACCTCGAAAGGTCAAGGTCAAAGGTTGACCTCAGGTCACGTGACCTCGAGGTCATCATGTATATCATTCGATGCGTCTTGACGAGCTGAACACAATGAAACCATCCGCGCAGCTGTATCTTGTTCCTGTACGGAGTTATTGGCAAAAAACCGCTGGTGACCTTTGATGACGTCACATGACCTTACAGCTGCCCAACAGCAAAACAGACCTCAAGGTAGTGAAGGTTGATCGTATATGAAGTCATGTGTGGTATATGGGGCCATTCCGACCCGTTTCAGTAGTAAAAACAGGGAGTTGATTTTTCCCCATTGACTTATAATGGGGAGGTCGCGAAATTGACCTGACCTTAGGTCACCGACATCAAAACTCCGAGATATACAAATTGTAGCTACTAATGACCTAATATCATCCTGCGACTTTCAAAGGCCTCCGACATCTACTGTAGCTCTGGCACGGTGACAAAGTTGCAAAAAAGTGACTTGAGGTTGGGTCATCCAAAGTGACCTGGTGACCTGACCTTGAAAGTTAGGAGGTTCAAACTTGCACACCATGTGCAAAATTGATGAGAGAATAGTCGTACCAAATTTCGCGGCGCTACGCGCCGCGGTTTTCCCGCTATCCGCAAAAAACCTCAGGGGGGGGGCGGAAATCCGCCCCCCCGTCGGTGCGCGTGTTAACCCGCGCCCCACTGGGGTCTGCGTATAACACGCCCTACTGGGGGGGGGGGCTATTCATAGCCCCCCCCCCTCCCTCCTAACTCCGAAACTACTGGGCCGATCGTCAAAATTCAAACGGCGTCTGATAGCCCCGGAAAAACTGTCGAGCAAAACCTAATTTCATTGACCTCGAGGTCACCAATGACGTCACAGGTCAGGTCAAAGTAAAAATTATTAGCATTTTGGCTTGTTCACGTTTTGGGCTCTGGCCGCCGTCTTACATGTCAGATCAGGCTCATTTTTGGATCACACACTCGGGAACAGATGCTCTAGTTACCCTGAGGGTACCAAACTTGTACTTTGATTTTCAGGTCAAGGTCAGGTCATCACAGGTCACGAAAATATAATATCATGCGTCGGTCACGTGACACATGTTTTCTGGTCCATTTAGGTCAGAGATTTCGAATTTGATGTCGTCTGTGTCATTCGAGGTCATTTTGAGTCGAATTTAGCTTAGGTCAGGTCACTTTCAGGTCAAAAAAGGTCAAATTTTGAAGCTAAAATTTTTCAACAAAAAATGTGTCTATTGGATGCAGTTTGAGCTCAGGAGCACGATGGTGCTATTTATATTGGCGTACGATGTCAAATACGTGCTGAAAAATTGATTTGAAAAATTAATAATTGTGAATTTTTCGCAATAATGCGTAAAACTTGGCCATTTTGAAGATATTTAGCTAAAACTTGCTAGAGTTATTCATAATAATGCGTTCTATCACATACATTCCGGTTTTTTCGAAAAGTCAAAAACTTTTTTAAAAAATATAAAAATAAAAATTTTGGATTTTATGATATCAAATTTTTGAAATTTTCAAAGTTTTGAAAATCCGAGATAGCAGTTTGATAGCGCAATCTATTCTGAGTCCTCTCATGCAAAGAAATTGGATCTAGCTTAAAAACTGAGCTCTTGGGAGCGATTGCCGTGGTTCAATGTTTTGCGTCGAAATCGGCCGAACATGACGTCACTCTTACGTCATTTCCGGCCGACCTATAGTAGTTACGAAGTTCAAATTTTGACACAAGGTGTCAAACTGATGTAGCCTAAGGTACTGAAAGTTTGGCGTCGATACGTCAAGCGGTTTGGAAGTTATTGCAGAAAAACGGGAGGGGGGCTATAAATAGCCCCCCCCCCCCCAGTGGAGCGCGGGTTAATTTGGAAAATATGCGTAGTTAAAAACTTTAAAATGTCATGAGCATACGAATTTACGAAACCAGAGCTATAAATACGCTGATACCGTCGGAAAATTCCGTACCTATTGTCAACATAATTTAGAAGCCTATAGGTATTGGGACTTATATGATTTCAAGCTTTTACGACTAGACATCTTAATTCAAGGTAGGTACGTATTTTCGGCTACTAGTCGTTTATCTATTGGGACTTAGCCAGACACGTCCGCTCCATTTGCTGACTTCAACTGGGCTGCCGTCGAGTCAGGAGTCTCAAATGTCGCGTGCCTCAGAGGATCCAAGGCGTCCGGTGCACTACACTCGATCTCGATCACTTCAACGGTCACCAGCAAGGATACATTTCAATATCTGAGACATGTGTCTAAATAAGACATCCGGTCACGGGACCGAATAAGCTCAAAGAGCGGGCTGCACTCGCAACAAACGTATGTAGACGCCTAGCGGGACGCAACGAGGCATGTTTTATATCACTGAATACAATATAATTGATTTGATACACCTTCTCTCTTTTCATAAACACTGTTTCTGGGTGTGACAAGCGTGACAATTATATCGATTCCGTCCGCCGTCGGTCTTCTCTATAGAGAAGACTGACTATAGACGGTCGGCAGCCCACACCAGACAAAAAAAGTTCCATCCAGCGACAAATCGTTTTATCCGCCGACAAATCGTTATGTCCACCGACGATTCGTTATATCCGCCGACGAATCGTTATATCCGCCGACAAATCGTTATATCCGCCCACAGTTATGTCCGCCGATAATGACCTCTGTTCACTGTCGGTCTAGTCGGCCGGCCGGCGGCGGAACACTGTGGCCGCCACCAGCACGGCCAGGTTGAGCAGCAGGCTGCCGGTGAAGCTGATCAGCAGCAGCCGGTCGCCGGTGCGCAGCAGGGTGGTCAGCAGCCGTGTGACACAGGTGAGCGCCGCCAGCAGCCAGGTGAGCCTGCTGACGGCGCGGCCGCTGCGCGCGCGCACCACGGCCCCCAGCTGAGACACCTTGCCGCTCCAGGCGATCGGTAGGTCCAGCTGCAGTAGGAAGGTCAGCAGGCCGAGCGGGAGAGGCCCGGCGGCCAGCGCCAGCGCCGTCAGCGCAGCGCTGGCCAGCACCAGCAGCTGCGGCGCGCCCAGCAGCCCGCGGCGAGCCAGCAGGAGGAGGAGGATGGCCAGCAGCTGCGGCGCCAGCAGCAGGTGCTCCAGATAGCTGGTGAGGATGTAGCCGTGCCGCAGGTGATAGCAGAGCTGGATGGAGCAGCTGGCCAGCTCCAGCACGGCGGAGCTGACGCTCAGACCGGCCGTGGAGCCGTCTCGGAGGAGGGATACCAGCTGAGGCAGCTTCAGGGCCACCGACGGACCGATGGTAAGCCAGTCGCAGAGCAGGGCGAGACGCACCGCCCAGAGAGACATCTGATCACGGAAAGACGGTCACATAATATGCCGGCTTTTACCACAGATAGACGGTCACACAATGCAGGAACAGATGGTCACAAAATATACAAGAACAGACGATCACACAATATACAAGCAACTGACCGGGGATAGACGGTCACACAATGTGCCGACATCAGAACATCATGGTCGCACAATATTACCGACAACTTGCCAGGGACAGACGGTCGCACAACCTCCCGGTATTACCTAGTTATAAAAAAGGAATGACCTAAATTATCAATTTGTATGTTTGTATAAACAATACTTACGTCCGGCACTGTTTGTAAACAATCGGTTCAGCTGCACGGTCTATCTCATTCAGCACTGCTTAGCGCCAGCACCAGCAGCAGCACCAGTCACGGAGCTGCCCACTGCCCAGCACCAGTCATGGGAGCTGCGGGCTCGTCTGCGGCCGTTCCGCCGATGCAGCTGTGCCGGGAAGCGTGCACCCTCGCACAGCCGTCTCGCGACGGTTCCATCGCATCGCGACACGTCTTCTTATCTCGGACAGAGCACAGGAACTGAACCAACTGATAGTGCCTGCCCGCTGCAGTTAGCAGTTAGCACGCGCCCGTCGCGCTGCCTCGGCTAGTGACGGCTGATAGCAGGCATGGTGAGAACCACAGGACGGGCGGTCCCGTTGCGGTCCCGTAGGCACGAGAAGAAAAAAAGGTAAATATGTGCCAGTGCACCCTCAAAAATGAAGATTTTGATAATGCAAAAGCTCACCCGATAGAGGTTGGTTCATATGCATCATCTAAATTCTAAAATCTAAATTGGAATTCATCGGCATGGCATAACTGACGGCGGGAGTTACATAAAGGAACGATGACACGAGACCTCGGACTAGAAAGGAAAACTTTATTTGGAAGCATCTGCTAGCCGAAATGAGGAATCCAACTCTTAGACAAAAACAAGGCACCTGACACATTTACAACGCAGCCGATTTTTTGCGATTTGATATATTGTAATGGGCGGTATGAGGAATTTGAGAGGCAAAATGCGTTTTTATTAGTAGTGTTTCGCTTAAAAGAGTGAGTTTAGAGTCTTATCTTAGGGTACGTCCGCTGCCGCTATATTCATACAACCGGGCCTGATTCCCTTACCTTACCTTACCTTACTTTGATCAGAATTTTGAAAGGCTCTTTGGCCTGTGGGGTACCGTTCTCATCGAGCTCGAGGCAACTTGAATGTCAAAACTCAGTCAGGCACTGAGTACCTGATGTTTGCCCAGTGGGCGTCCAGCCTGGATTTGAAGAGGTCTACAGAGGCAGCGCTCACGACTGAGAGGGGGAGACTATTCCAGTCGTTCACTACCCGCGCACCGAACGCTTGTCTTCTCGGTCTTGATTCGGCCCTCGGCTTCAGGAGTTTCCACGGGTGACCGCGGGTGCGCTGGACTGCTGCAAGAGTGAAGAAGTCCTCTGGAAGCAGGTCCATTCCGCCGTGGAGAACCTGGTACACTTGGATCATATCCCCGCGACGTCTTCGGTAGAATAGTGATGGAAGCTTCAGTGCCTCTAGTCGTTCCTCATATGGCAGGTGTCTGATAGAGCTGACTAAACGAGTGGCTCTCCGCTGAACACGTTCGATCAGGAGTTGGTCGGCTCGGTCAAAAGGACCCCAAGCAACATTACCATACTCTAAGTGGGGGCGAACAAGTGCTCTGTACAGCAGAGGGAGTGTAAAGTCGTCAATATGCTCGAACGATCGTCTGACAACCGCCAGCATCTGGTTCGCCTTTGCCGCCGCCGCCGCTGCTTGCTTTCTGAACTTGAGGTTAGGGTCCACGTGGATGCCCAGGTCGCGTACGGTTTCAGCCACTTGCAGGTTGACCCCTCGCATCGTGTACTGGAGTTGAGCGTTGTTGGTGCCTAGGTGAAGAACCTCGCATTTGTCCTGGTTGAAGGGAAGTTGCCATCTGTCAGACCAGGCCACCACAGCATCAATGTCGGCTTGCAGAGATGCCGCTTCCGAGGGTGCTGACACGCTGCGGTAGATTTTTGTGTCGTCCGCGAACATTTTCACCATGCAGTCGACGACAGCGGGCATATCGTTGATGAAAGCAAGGAACAGGAGCGGACCGAGGACCGAGCCTTGCGGCACTCCACTTGAGACGGCAGACCAGCCAGAGAGGTGACCGTTGACGGAGACTTGCTGCTTCCGATCGGAGAGAAAAGCATCGATCCATTGAAGAAGGTTGCCTGACACACCAAGACTACGAAGCTTCAATAGAAGGCGCTTGTGAGGGACCGCATCAAAGGCTTTACGAAAATCAAGGTAAACTGTATCAACTGGGCTCCCCTGCTCAATCATCTTACTCCAGTCGTCCAGTACCTCAATGAGTTGCGAGTTGCAGGACCTCCGTGGGCGGAACCCGTGCTGGTGCTTGGAGAGCTGGTCTGTTGAGCATAGGAAATCCATGAGTTCGTCCCGGATCAGTGATTCGAGGATTTTGCACGGGATCGACGTAAGACTGATGGGACGATAGTTACCAGGAGTTTGCTTGCTGCCTTTCTTGTGAATGGGAATGACCGTTGCCGCCTTCCAAGAGTCGGGAATAACGCCTTGATCGAGAGAGGCACGATAGATGGAGGCAAGTGGACCAGCTAGTGGCCGGGATGCGAGTTGCAAGAGCTTCGGGTGTAAGCCGTCAGGGCCCGGTGCACAAGTCGTCTTCAGGGTCTCGAGCTTCCTCCTCACAGCCTCGGACGTGATCTGGATCGTCTCCAACGGACGGCCAGCGTACTGTGAGGGTGGTTCGGGAATCTGTGAGACGTCTTCGGCTGTAAAAACACTGCTAAAGAAGGCATTCAAGAGGTGCGCTTTCCCGAGATCATCGCTTACCACCAGCCCGGAGTCATCTTTGAGGTTTTCGAGCCTGGCTTTTGTTCGGATCCTAGTGTTGGAGTAGCGCCAAAAGGCTTTCGGGCATTCTTTGACGTTTCTGGCTAGGCTGATCTCCAGGTCCCTCCTCAGATTTCTTGTCAACTTCCGTAACCGGTTTCTACACTGAGTGTACCTGGTGTAGTCAATGATATTCTTTGAACACACATATATTTTCCACAGCTCTTCTTTTCGTTTCTTCAGCCGTAGGGCCTGCCCATTTCCCAAGCTAGATAAGTCGTGTTGTAGGCATCCCTCGCTCGCTATCTCATCTGATTTGATGATTGATTGATGATGATGATATCTCATCATCATCAAAGTGATCTTTCACTTTGGCCGCTTGGAACAGCGACTTGTGTCTAATAATTTCTGTTGAAGTTGGTTATGAAGCTTCATGAGTTGAATCGGGTATTATTAATGAATTAATTCTGATAAAGGGTGGAATAAAATAATAAACAATTCAAATTGGGCTTTGATTCCTTTTCAATTTTTTTTTATCGCAGCCCTCTTCAAGTTCAAGTTTTAAGAATCAGAAGCCAAGCTGCTACGTGCCCTTACCCAAAACAACAACAAGAACCTGCTTCAGAGTTCTATAGCCTTGCCTGCTTCAAAGTCATACTTGGAATAGGCTAATTTAAGTACCTTCTGCATCCATTACACTTGAAAGTTGAAAAATTTGAGACCTGAGATTACTAAGAATGATTTAGGTACCTACTCAGTTTTCACAGTTTACTTATTTGTACAGTGTACAAAGTATCCATACTATGCTATGCAGTGATCAGTGATGTGCAAAATGGTAGGGTTTCAGGTGAAATCTGAAAACAGGGGGCCTGGGGTGATATGATCAAGGATTTTGAAATTTGTTTGATTTAGTCATGTGATAATTAACCTGTTAAAGGTACCAAAAGGGGGAGGATATCCAAATGATCATGTGACTAAAAATGCCCTCTGGCGCCGTTTTCAGATTCCACCGACTTTCATGGATGCCTAGTGCCTACTGCTGACTGCTGAGAGTGTGGGAGGACAAAAATATGCAAAGATGAAGAAATGATATGAACAAGGAAGTGTGCTTTACCAATAAATTTTTGTAGCAAGGAAGTAGGAACCATGGAATTTGTTTCAAAGCAAAGAATCTATTGCTTCAAAGAGTTCATTGTTTCAGTGCAAAGTTTCATGAGTGCAGTGTTTCAGTTTTGTTTGCCTATTTGGGTACATTACCTTGTCTTAAGACAATATTCAATTATGAATCAAATTAAAATGCCTTTATCTGTTACCTACACAAATATAATAACATTTATTAGATCAGGTGACAGGCTGGTCTTCGAAATATGAGCAACTCACCTGGTTTACCCACCTGGTTGGGTTCCCTGAACCCCAGTGCCATTAAAGGAAAAGAGGAAGGAAGTGAGTAGGTCAAGGAACAGGAACCCTTAATCCTAGATGCACCAGCCAAAGTTCTTGTCTGATGGAAATTATGAAGTAAGAAGGCTGAAGCTGAGCATCTTCCATGATGATACGCATGAAAACAGTACCTACAACTACCACTAAGGAAGTTAACACAAGAGTACAGCTGTACTAAGCTACTGCCTACTGGTAGATAGTTAGTACAACAAGATAGTGAAACTTTAACAATTTAACATGCTATGATAGATAACTTTGTGGGATACACCATTAGAATGTTGGTAGAAATAGACATGTCTGAAGCTATGTTTAAGATAGGATGTCTTCCACAGGCATCTCCAGCCACCTGCAGAAGTTCGCTCCTGCCGGGACCATGTCATGGCGCCTGCTGCTGCCGCTCGGGCTGGTCACCCACCTGGTGTTCCTGGCCTCCATATTCGACATCTACTTCACATCACCCATTGTGCACGGGATGGCGCCCCAGAAGCCGCTGCAGCCGCCGCCGGCCGCCCGACTCGTGCTGATCTCGGCTGACGGGCTGCGTGCCGACAAGTTCTACTCGCGAGGCGCCGACGGACGACCGCTGGCGCCATTCCTCTGGTGAGTGAGACGTATGGGTGTGGGTGTGGGTGAGAGTAAGTGTAACGCTGTGTAATGAACGAGATCGGAGTTTAATCATATCACATACAGAGTGCTGGATGTGGTAAGTCTCGGCTCATCAAGTGATGCTGGTAGTAAGAGGGCTGAGATGCTTATCTTGTCAGTTTTCACCTCATTTCATTATAATACTGATGTTCTTTCTGGCTATGTCCGAGTTCGCCCCTGTCCAGTGTCCGTACCCGTCTGGACATATCATTGGTCAGTGTGTCCCTTTCCCACTCCGCCCCCCTGAAGCCCGCTCAATGATGTGCACAAGGGAGTCCCGTGAGCACATCATTGTCCCGTGACACGGGACATCAGCTGACAGTTCCCCCCCCCCCCTCTCCAGCCGGATGGCTCGCACACGTGGCGTCTGGGGCGTGTCCCACACACGTGTACCCACCGAGTCCCGACCGGGACACGTGGCGCTCGTGGCCGGCGTGTACGAGGACCCCAGCGCCGTGACACGCGGCTGGCAAGAGAACCCCGTGCCGTTCGACACCGTCTTCAATCAGAGCTCGCATACCTGGGCGTGGGGCAGCCCGGACATTGTGCCCATGCTGGCCAAAGGTGAGAGCAGTCAGCGTGGGCAAGGTGCCGGACGCCGGTCCAGTGGCTAATTAAGTGCAGATCATTTAGCTATGAGTGAGTGGGTTAGTATGTGTGTCAAGTGACTCGAAATTACTGTTCGCTATTTCCTCATGTCAATTTAGGTACCTATTTAGGTTCGCAGTAATATTTCATCACGTGTTTTCTAAAACAATGTACTCAATACTTCTGTACCTACGTATTACGCATGAATGGGCAACAAAGCCACGAACTATCATTTGTTCCGATAACACCAGCGTCCTGTGTTGTGACTTGTGAGCGATGTCGCTGAATCCGCCCCGTCTCTTCCCTCTCCCCAGGCGCCACACCTGGACGGGTGGACACCTTCACATACGACGCGCACGAGCAGGACTTTGCGCGCGGCCTGGCCTCCGAGCTGGACGGATGGGTGTTTGATCGTGTCTCCGAGTTTCTGAGGACGGCCGCCGGCCACCCGGCCACGGACGCGCGTCTTCGTCAGCAGGGGACAGTGCTGTTTCTGCACCTACTGGGACTGGACACCACGGGGCATGGACATAAACCGCAGTCCAGGTGGGAAACGGGACTGGGAGACGTCTAGATGTCACCAAAAACTAGACACGTCTAGACACAAATAGCAGTTCAGGGGTGGGGCACGGAACTGGTGCAGCTGTAACTTTTTTCTCGATTTATTCATGTATTACAGGCTACAGCATGTGTCATCTCATCAAGTTTAGTTGATAAAAAGTAATTTCATTGATGTGAATCAGAGAGCTGACTTGCAACTTGCCATGTATTGCTATTGCATGCTCCCCGTCCTAGCGGCTGTAATTGATCGTTTGTGACCGGTTCCTTTCAGTCAGTACGCTGACAACATTCGCTTCGTGGATGCCGGACTAGAAAAGCTGATCGGTGAGATCGACAAATACTTCAACGACAGCCGAACGCTGTTCGTGTTCTCGTCAGACCACGGAATGACCGATTGGGGTGAGTGCCATCAAATCTCGTCTCTCAACTGCGCTAGAATATCCCCTCCTCTGTTTGGTGCATAATAAGTATAAGTTACATGCAATATGCGGAATCGGATATTCTATAGAATGTCTAAGCGTTCCGCAGGTCTGAGCGACCGGACTTTCTGTACTGTTTGCTGCATGTCGATACGAAGAAACATATCCCTGTATGATGATTCATGTATGACAGTGGTAATTCGTCCCTAGGTTCCCACGGCGCGGGCGACCCGTCAGAGACCCAGACCCCGCTGGTGGCCTGGGGGGCAGGTATCCGTGGACCGCTGCCGGCACCGGACGGCGACCCGCCCCCGGACGCCATCACCGCCGCCCTGTACGCGGGCCGCGCGGTCGATCAGGGGATGGCAGAGGAGGGAGAGAAGAGAGAGGAGGGGAGGGAGCTGCTGGAGCTCCGCAGGACTGACGTGGCTCAGGCGGACATAGCGCCGCTGGTGACGGCGCTGCTCGGTCTCAACCTGCCCGTCAACTCGGTGGTAAGTGAGAAACAACTTTTTGACTGCCGTTAGCTCTGTAGTTTGAGATGCAATCTTCAGTCAACTATGGCTATGTGATAATTAGAGCTATGGATAGTCGATACGGCCGTAACCTGATAATGCCTGATGTTGGTATAGCAGAAGGCGACGACGAATTACTGCATTCGCTACGCTGCAGCTGCTTTGGGTCGAGATCTAACTATACATATACGGCCCACGCACAACTTGTATAACCTGTTTATTGATAGCGACAATTATATTCGACTCCGGCCTGCTGTGTTGCTACTCCAGTTCGGCCAGTGACCTTTCTCTGACCTCCCATCTGTCATCATCTCCAGGGCCGTCTGCCTCCCGACATTCTGGGCGTACCACCCGACCAGCGGGCCGACCTTCTCTTCACCAACGCTCGCCAGCTGCTCTGTCAGTACGAGACACGCCGGCAGCAGCGGCGGGCCGCCACGGCCGCCGCGCTGTACTGGGAGCACGGCAGGCTGGCGCCGCACGCGCAGACGCAGATGGTGAACAAGGTGCTGGACTACATGCAGAAACGCGACTGGGATAACGCGGTGCGTATTTGTGTGTGTGCGAAAGAGAGAGCTGGCAATGTAATTTTTTGTGTTGCCGGCAGTCGCTGCCAACTTCTAGGTCATTTATATTTGACGTAAAAGAAACCATTTTAAACTAATGCGCATGCACTGTTCGAGAGAAGCATTCAGTTTCCTATCACTCTCAATTTCAGTTTTTTCCGTTACTCAACGACACTCTGCTCACTGTCTGGCCGACGCCCCGTTCAGTATCTGAGAGCCATTCTATCAGGCTGTCTTACCGTCCTCTTGCTGACCTGAATCTCCCTAATCTGCAGATGTTTCTGATTGGCGAGCTGATGGACCTGGCGCTGGCCGGAATGCACTACTACCACACGTACGACCGTCCGATGCTGCAGACCGCTGTCACACTCTGCTACCTGGGATGGATGCTGCTGCTCGCATCACATCTGGTCAAGGTGAAACGCAGGGGGCATCGGGGCCAGTCAGGGACCATCGGGTTACTCAGGGGCTCAGTCAGCAAGGTAACGGCCAGACCTTATTCTGACCCCCACCTGCGTACGCTTGACACTCAGTTCTATTTTGTATTAACCCGGCAGGCGGTGGGCCTCCCAGCCACCTTCCGCGCGGTGGGGGGGGGGGGGGGGGTTTGCCCCCCCCCCGTATCTCCGAAACTACTGGACGGATCCGGAAAATTCAAACGGTGTTCGATAGCCCTGTCAAATTTGTTGAGGGAAACCAAATTTCATTGACCTCGGGGTCACCGATGACGTCACAGGTCAGGTCAAAGATAAAATGTTTCACCGTTCACGGGGCTTCTAGGGAAAGCGAGTAACACCGAGTAATGAGGCTTGAAATGATCTCACGCATGTCAAAGTGTTTTTATTTTAGGCAAAATAAATATCTAAAACAGTAAAACAAGCTTTCGGCATTACGCCATCATCAAGTAATCATCATCACGCCATCATTACGCCATCATTACGCCATCATCATCAAACTTGATGATGGCGTAATGCCGAAAGCTTGTTTTACTGTTTTAGATATTTATTTTGCCTAAAATAAAAACACTTTGACATGCGTGAGATCATTTCAAGCCTCATTATATTAATAATAATCATGTCATCCATCCTCGCCCACATAAAAACACCGAGTAAAACGCATTTTGTCGAAAATCAGCGATAAGGCGTCAGTTGTCTAGTACATATGTTGCTATTAGAGGTCACTGGTCATACCAGGTCAGGTCACAGGTCAGGTCACCAAAGGTCACCAAGGGTCACCACATGAGCCCAACTTTACTAAGGTTATGCGATGCATGTTTTATGGCCAGTTTTTCATTTCCAACTCAATGGTGTTGGTTATAAGACCATCAGGTACGGTTTAGGTCACTTTCTGGTGGAGGTCAGGTCAAGGTCAGGTCAAAGAGGTCAAATTTCAAAGTTGATATTTTTGCATAAAATGGGTATCGATTCGATGCGGCTCGTCACGGGGAGTCTAATGGTGGTCTTCGTTTTGCGCTACGAGGTCTAGAATTGCTAAAAATTGAGTTTGAAAATTTGACGTCATCAATTTTGAACAGTTTTTTTCGCTATAACTTGGCCAAAAAAAAAAGAGGTATTAATCTCAAATTTGGTATGTAGATAGAAGGCGGCAGGGACTATCACATATATTCCGTTTTTTTGAATTTCAAAACACTTCCTGGATTTTTCGGCTATTATTTTCAAAAAATCTATTTTTTGATTTTTGGGGGTCAAAGTCTAAAAAATTCGAAAAACCGAAATAGCAGTTTTGTAGCCCTTTTGATTCCACACCTTTTATGTCTGAAACATTTTTCTGTATCTCTAAAGCTGTAGCCCTGACAGGTCTTCCCGCGAAACCTTTTTTTGGGTCGAAAATGGCAAAAATGACGTCACTCTGACGTCATTAGCGGCCAACATATCATAGCCTTTGGAAAAAATTTTGGTCACCATGTGCGCTAGCTGCTCCCGGGAGGGTACTGAAAGTTTGGTGACGATCGGCGCAGCGGTTCTCGAGATATATTGAAAAAACTAAAGGGGGGCAAAAAAATGCCCCCCCCCCCGCCTGGAAGGTTAAGAAGTTATTTGCATTACATCAGCACAGCAGATGGTTCACACGATAACACTATAAAAAGACCGTTCTATTTTTTTTTTTACAGCACAGTTACACCCGATATAATAGATGGCTGGCTAGAATTGTCCGAGAATGTAGAATTTTCCGAGTCTCATTTATCTTGTCTTTGTTTTAACTATGCATGCTCTATACTAGTGGTGTCAATTTCAGAAAAGGCATGTCCAATGTCCGTCCAATGTCCAATGCTTACGTCGATTGTCCGTCCAAAAATGTCCAAGCCAGCCATTTGTCCAAAGATGTCCGACGCCTACGCAGTAGTTTACACTCAACACTGCTATTTAATTTGCTTTTAATGTACCATTGCCAGCTGAAAAGTGTTAATCATATCGAAAACTGAGCTTTCTAATAGCCAATCAATGTTAAACACCATTACTTTATAAAAATGTTGATGTGTAGCAAGCGATGTCCAAAGTTGTCCAAAGCCTGCTGTCATTGTCCAACCGAATTCCGAATTGGACATTGGACAAAATCGGAACTCCGAAGATTCAAGTTCCGATTGACACCACTACTCTATACATGCTTTGTTCTACGTACATGCATCTATCATTGTGAGCACACCTTCCCCACTGTTACCTTCCACTGTCTCACGCTATCACACCCCTCCCCAGACGTCTGGCACCTCCGTGCCTGCCGAGGGCCCGTCGGCCGGCGGACCGGCCGCTCTGGCCGTTGGAGTGGTCGGTACCAGCGTGGCTGTCTTCCTTATCGTCGGTGAGTGTTAAAACCAGAACGGACTTTCACGGCGAGCCGATGGATCCGTCCAAACCTTCGTTATGCCTCAGACGTGACTTCTTAGTACTTATGTACAATACTTCATAATATTTTGGGATAGTTTTTTTTTTGACAGATGTAACTATATCATGTCGTTGATCAATGACTTCCCCCCCCCCTTCTTCCTCCGCCGTCAGCCAAGTCCCTGCCGGCCCACTACGCCGTCTACCTGCTGCTGCCGGTGCTACTGTGGTCGGTGCTCGCCTACGACGTTTCGGGGCTGTGGGCAGTGAGAGCCGCGGCTGGAGATAGGGGCACCGTGCTGAGGCATGGCGCGGTGCTGGTCGGCATCGAGCTGCTGGTGAGAGGGGGAATGACAAGGAATGAGAGATAGGGCAGGCGAAGAACTATCTTGCTGATATTTATCTTGTGGCTGCTGAATGAGAAGAGGGTTTTTTGATTGTTTGTACCATGACTTCTGAGCAAAATGGAAAGGCACATCTCGTCTCATTTATGCGAAGCCACCGAACAGGCTGAGATGGACGGAGCGTGTGAAGCGACGAAGCAGTCGCTTGACACCATCGTTGCCCGCCTGTTTCGCTAGCATTGTCCCGTCTTGAGTTCTCACCATCTCCTCCCGTCAAGCCGTGCATAATTTTCATCCCCTCCCGGCCAGCTGTCCAGATGTTGGTGTTTTTGAACCGTGTATAGCCCTCCTCCCGTTCATTTTCCAGGTGGTGTCGTTTTTCCAGCGCTGGGTGCTCTCTGTACTTCTCCTGGCCCTGGCGCCCTGGCCGCTGACCCTGCCAAAGTACAGGAAGCGGCTCACGGTGCTGTGGGTGGGATCGTCGGTACTTTTGGCGGGGTTCCCACTCAGTCCCGTCATCACCCATCAGGCTAACTATCTGCTCGTGTGAGTACTGGGTGGTAGGGTGAGCCAAGTATCTCTTGGTGTGTCGAGTACTGGGTGATAGGGGTGGACAAAACACCTGCTGGTGGGGTTGAAATAGATGGGCAAGTTATTTATAGGGGTGACTCAGTGAGTACTGGGGGGTGGGTGAGGGCGGGCTGTCCAAGTGATTACGGAGCGAGCGAAGCGAGCGTAGTCTTTCCTTAGATTAACGGAAATTTCTGAGTATGAGCGGCCGGCCGGCCGGCCGGCCGGCCGGCCGTGGTCACGCTTTTGCGAGGCTTATATCTCAGCAACCACTTGACCGATTTACACGCGGTAATTTTTGTAGGGTAGCTTCATTCCTTCTACCAAGTATTGGACTATTCCCGATGCATGTGGGTGACCCCTTATGCACGTGCCACGTGCAAAACGAAGAGGTGTCACTTTTGTAATTGTTGCAATATCTCGGTAACTACTTGGCCGATTGCGCTGAAAGTTGGCATGTAGGTAGGCACCCACTAGGCACTGCATATACATGTGCCAGAGTTGGGGTGCTGCTGCACGTGCGCACGTGCAGGGGTCGTTTCCAGATCTCGAGAACGGCTGGACCGATTGCGCTCAAATTTGGTACGCGGTTAGGGACCGGTTAGTAGGGTGCCTTGCACAAGTCAGTTGGGACCCATTTTGCACGTGCGCACGTGCAGGGTGCCGCTTCCAGATCTCGAGAACGGCTGGGCCGATTGTGCCCAAATTTGGCACATCGCTAGAGACCAGTTAGTAGGGTGCCGTGCACAACTCAGTTGGAGGTACCCCCTCGCAATTTCGCACGTGCAAGGCCCACCCTCTCGCTCGCTCCGTTAGTCGCCCCAAAAGGCGTTATACTGGTAATACGAGTTACGTAGGGAGTATATACGAGTTACGAGTTACGTAGGGATAATCATTATTTGGTATGAAGCTGGTTTGCCGCACATTAGGCTCTGAGTTTTCTGATTTTGGACCATCGTGATTACGGTACCGACTGTGACCGCGATATGCCTGACTGTTGCAGGAAGGCGGCAGCCATGTTCTCGGCCGGCGGAGTGGCGCTGGCCTCCCTGTCGTAAGTAACGCAGGGTAGTGGCGTGGGGTAGTCAGGGGTTAGGGCGGTCCCAGAGGGAACGAAACGGGACGGTGCGTTGCTGTTCCTAACTCTTTGTAGTGGGTCTCTCACTCTGCCTCCACGCACGAGTTGGTTGACTCAGCCACATTTTGACACGCATCACTCAGTAGATCCGTTTGAAGTATACTGGTACGATCATTTTTAATTGTCGCAAAGCTCTTTTTTAACCAACAAACTGCAAACCGTCAGCACGAACTCAATGGACAGTTTTGACGAATTTGCGCGTTTTACTTCTTTGCTCGTTTTATACCGGGCTGTCATGCACATCAGCTGATGGCATATCCCTCCCCTTCTCTCCCGTTCCCAGCGGTGAGCTGCGCCTGTTCCGACCGGTGGACCGCCTCCGTGAGCCGCGTCACTGTCGGCTGATCCTGCTGGCGCAGGTGGCGTTCCTAGCGGCCGCCGCCGGAGCTACTCACGCCGTCCAGTCGGCTGTCGGGAGCCGCACCGCCGTGCCGGGATTCGTACACGTGGCGTCCTGGGCCATGCTGGGTAGGTGACGGGAAGACTAGCATCTACTAGTTGGGCCATTTCATATGTGGGTAGGTGACGAGGGGCTGAAAGGCAGAGAACAGGCATCCTTCTTGTCTCCTGGCCGGCGATGCAGCTCGGTAGGTAATGGATGACATATTATGTACTATGTAGGCACCTTCTGTTTAATCACTTTTTGAACTTCGAGTGTAGCTGCATTGTTAACTGTTCGGTATACTTAGCGTAATGACTCCAGGGCCTCGTTTCATAAAGCGAGTCCGTAACTTACGGCGGTTTTTGGTCTTGTATTGCAAGCGCATGTGAAGCGATGGCGATAGTTTGAATCGTTGCATTTATTTATCTTGCAAGCAAGAACAGAATGGAGAAGGGGAAATAAATTTATCGCTTCACATGCGCTTGCAATACAAGCCCAAAAAACGGCGTAAGTTACGGACTCGCTTTATGAAACGAGGCCCAAGATGCAACCTTATCAGTTGCATAAGTAGTAACGCGTCTGCGGGTAGTCATCCCTGCCCCTCAGTAACCATGTCCCTGACCTCGCCCTTCCCCGCTCCCCCAGCTCTGTCGTGGCTGCTGCCGTGTCTCAGCTCGGCGTGGCTGCTGAACCGTCTGCTGCACGTCACGGCTGCCCTGCTGGTCCCCTTCCTGCTGCTCAGTCTCGGCCGAGAGGCGCTCTTCCTGCCGCTGCTGGCGCTGCACCTCTACTCGTGGACACGGCTCGAGCATACCGCCGAACAGAAACAGGTGCGAGAGATGAGACTATGGGGCGGGACGCGACGAAGAGAGGAAGGGTCGATGAAGATTAGAGCTGGATATGCCCCTTGCGAGATGGGCTGGTCAAAATATGTGGTCAGTATTTGGTTACGAGCTGCACCAAAATAGTTTTTGTGATTAATCGAGATGATTATCCAATTTTAATGCAGTCTTGCAAAGCAGTGTCTAATTTGGGCCTGGGTAACGATCAGTCAGTGATATAATTTTCCAGATCCCTCCCTGTCTTGTGTCCAAGTTTCTTCTCCTTCCAGCCTATGCGCTCTGATCTGGCCTACTTTTCCTCCCTCCCTGTTCCGTTTTCCGTTTTCGGACATCTAGTGCCTAATCCTCTCGCTATTTCTCCCCTCTCAGGCCTTAGGTTTATAACCGGACATGCCGTTAGGTACAGTCCACAGCAGAAGTAATGTGTGGTTTCAGCCATGGGTATGTTCTGCTTCTGAAGCCTAGGAACGATCAGCCAGACCGCAACGAGACTTAAAATGTAGCTTACATGTATCTTCACCCTTGCAGCTACAACTTTATCTATTGACGTCTTCTTTTCAATCAGTCCGTATTTAAAAATCGTCGGTCAAAGCCATCCGTTGAGATTGGTAAAACCACACATTACTTTAGCGGTGGGCTGTACTTCTCCGACCTCCTATTTCTGACTCCCGTCCTATTTGGACGTGTGTAACGCGTCTGACCATGTCTAACCGTGTCTAACCCCCGCCCCCTCCCTCAGCTGGCGGAGCTGTCGTTTGACGACCCTCTGAGGAAAAACGAGGCCCGCCGGCCGGCCCAGTTCGGCGACACACGCAGGGCCTTCTTCTACGTATCCTTGCTGATGTCTCAGAGTTGACAGGGGAGAGTCACGGGGGCGAGAGGGGAAGGGTCAAGTCCTCGCTGGTCTGCGCATTGTGTTGATTTAGGAATTTTTATGGGTTGATGTTTCTTGCCGAATGTTTTGACATGATCATTGTGTACGTCTGTCAATGTCATACGTCACATGATATGTCTGTTCCAAGGATCATCTTAAAGATGTGTTTTCTTCTAATTAGATTTTGTTAAATTCATTCAGTCTCAATCGATTCAAATTTAATCATTCTGGAGATTGATCAAATGTCACTATTGCCTTATGTTTAGCCCCTCGCTCCCTGCTGCTATCTACGTCGGTCTGCTTCCTTAACCACCCTGTCACGCAGTTGCTGTTCGTCATGTTCGCGTTCTTCGGTATCGGTAACATCGCCAGCGTCAACTCGTTCGACCCGACGTGCGTCTACGCGTTTGTGACCGTGTTCAGCCCGTGGGTGATGGGTGCGCTGCTGCTCACCAAAATACTGGTGCCGTTCCTGCTAGTCTGCTGCTACGGAAGAGCCGTGGCTACTGTGACCAGGGTGAGACGCCGGATAAGGAAAGGGATTTAGGGGAGGGATAAGACTAGGTTTGGTGAGATTGAGGGATGACTGTGATTGGTGGGGCCTTTTTTGTTGTTGTAACTACCGGTGCTGATGGCCAGCTACAGCTCAGAAACTAAAGACTCCGTATCATCGGTGCCATAATGATAACTGGTGTTTGGTCCCAGAGCTCTTTTGTCATCTCTCAACAGTCGCATTTAGATCTGAGTCGTAATAGCATGCCCTGGCCGTCCAGGGTTTCTTTCACCGAGCATTGCATCTCCTGCCGCATAAGACCAAACGTGCTTAGTGTTTTGATGCAGCTCCCTCGGCATCTCCTCCGCCGTGCTATGACTCGATTGTTTATTCTGATGTCTCCGACGTGTCCTCCCCCAGATGTCGACCCAGCGTCTGTTCCTGACGGTGCTACTGATGTCGGATGTCATGTCCGTCCACTTCTTCTTCCTCGTCACCGACGCTGGGTCGTGGCAGGACATCGGCTTCTCCATATCACACCACGTGATCGCCACAGGAACATCGTGTTTCCTTCTGATACTGCACGGCGCGGCGCGGGTGCTGACCAGTGCCACCTGGTGGTCGCCGGTGGAATCTGTACTTACAGAGCGGCGCCGCAGTCGCGTGGACCGGCTGGGCGGCGGGGAGATTGAAGTGTCTGTGGTGGGAGGGAGTGCCACGCAGGGGATTAAACTCGAGTGAGCACTGAGGAGGCTGTGAGGACACGTCGGGCGGCGTTGCTGGACAGGGGGACAGTGAGGGAGATTGAGGAAGTGTGCTAGGGTGTGAGCCGGGTGTGGGTGGCCGAGGATTGAACGGGAGTGAGTAAAGGTATGAGGTGTGTTGAGGATGAGGGTGTGTGAGGGGAGTCACGAGTGGGTATGATGAACGCGGTTCAGGCGGTAGTAGCATGGCCAGGTGTATGGGGATGAGTATTGAAGAATGGACGTAGCCTGGATGGAGTTTGCATGGTTTTTGTACCCTCTGCTGCTATCTTTCACCGAGTAGTGGGACATATTTTACTCGGGGTGAGATTAGGAACGTGGCTCAAGAAGTTACTGCTTTAAAGGCACCGGGCCAGAGGACCAAGACGTGCCCGGACAAAAGTGTTCAGTCTTGAGAAAGGAAATGTGGAAGTGGCCCACTCCTTGTGCCAGTCCCACCGCACCCATTTTACCTATTGCAATGCAACTAGGGTTGACCACAATTTTACGTGAATTCTGGTCACTGAGTTCGTCTCGACCGAGCTTGGTGTGCTATGTGATCGTCCATTGTTATGGCATTGCTTGCCATCTTAAGTGGCACGCATGTCTCCATGTGGTAGTGGCGACAGATCTCTGGTTTACTGTGTGCCCCCAGACTTGGTGCCATCACCGACGCATGAGATTCGATTTTGCTTGCCAATTACTCAGTGATTGCGATTTCCTTGCGTGTATCTTTTCCAATGCACCACAGCGTATCACTATCGATTTTCTTTGACGACAGCTTCTGCAGTATTTCCCATCCCCAGAAGCATATCGCTCGCCATTTTCTAAGTTGCCGCCAGGGTTACCATGGGACTTTACCTGATCGGGTGATTAGGAGCCAAGGTTGCAGTGAGGCAGCGCAACTTTGCCTATGTATGTAGTATGGGATATTCTCAACACCGCTACAGTCCGTGTCCTAGTCTGTGATTGGATGGTGGCCTTTGGTTGCCACCGGTTGTCATGGCAACTGTGGCAGCACGAGCTTTCTGTGATTGTTGACTTGTAGAGCATGTAAATCGCCATTAATGGCGTAAAACGGGAGAATTGTACACAAATTATTAATCCAAAGGGCATTATGTTCATGTTATGCGTTGAGTGGGCACTGTGAAATGATAGTCTCTCGTTAATACAGAGTTGTGAGCTTTGAGCTGCGGTGATGTGGATGTGTTTTTAGGACTTGAATCTAGTCTGTGTTGTACCCAGCGATGAGCGAATCATCTTCGATCGAGCTTCACGCAGTAACTCTACACATCCGCTGAGAATAAAGGGTTTTGTATTGCCATCACAACAATCTGAACAGATCTCCACGTCTGGGGAGACCACCAGCGCCTGTGCCAACCTTCCATTCGCAGCTCGAGTGGCAGATAAATGCATACAGATACGAACATTCCAGAACAATCAGTGGCTCACTCGAGAGGCCAGGAGCTGCTGTGCGAAATGGGGCGGGACGCTGCGGTTGAACGAAAACGCAGCATGAGCGGTCCACCCATCATAGATCAGGTTGAGGGATTAAGTTGGTCAGGTGAACAGTTATTTTGTTAGGATGACCGGATGACCCTACACGTATCACGAACCAATAGACAACACCATATTGTGCATGACAATAGATAGGTACGCGTGATGCATGAGACGAGCGAAAATCGCTGTGACAAGTACAGAAACGTTCTGAAAAAGAGCGCTGGATGGCATCCATTAGTGAAAAAATAACACCACATTGTTTATCTAATGATTGTATGAACTTTGCAGTATGAATAATCTCACATAGTCGCCCAAACTTATACCAGCACCTTAGCAAACAATTATCAAAATACAAAGACAAAGCAAAATGCCACGAGTTGCCTTTCAGCTCGTTCAAAACCTTATCATGTCGCAGTGCTTCAACGGACCCTAGCAAAGTCTAAGTGCGCTTAGCCAATCATGACAATATTAAACAACCGTGCAAGGAAAAAGAATCATGAGGAATATAACGGCAACTGCCAAATAAATATAGCAAAACAGTTGAAAAGACCGGCAGCAGCCGAGGCAGTTGTGCACCAACGGAAAGTTGTACACTTCCGTCCAACTTGTGGCTGGTGAACGAGCGAACATCCGCACAGCGAACAGCAAACAGAGCAAGTCGCACACTGAACAGCAAACATAGAGCCATCATCTCACCAACCAAACATCAAACACAGAGACAGCGAGCCGCGCACCAAACATCAAACAAAAGCCCTTCGTATCACCGACCGAAACGGTTGCGGCAAATAGCCCACAGGACGTAAACTGCAGCTGATAGGTACACCTTAGCTAGCTTGGCTCACAGGTACACCTTAGCTAACCGTTACACCACTGCTGAGTCGTCTCGACACCTCCAACAGTACGCCACAACTAACAGGTACGTTCACGACCAGCACTTGTATTGTCACCCGGCACTCTGAGCTGCCCTATTATCCCGTGGCACGTCAGTATAAGCGTTAAGTATAGCTGCCTCCGCGACCGCGCCTACCCAGCTAAGAATTCTCCACAGCCGCCCACCGACTAATAAGCCTTTGCCCCGACACCTGCGAACAAAACACCGCACCCACGGCGGTATAGGTAGTCGCCACGTCAAACAACAGCTCTGACGGGCTCTCCAACAACAAAACAACACAGAGAGAGACAGACCTGGTGGCCGTGAGTGTGCGGACCGCACATCCCGTAGCAAAGGTGGTCTATTTGTAGAGCACGTGACGCCTGACGACCCTCGTCGGCCGGTCGGAGCCGCCAACAACTCGTCAGAGCTCACAGCTCATGGAGCTCAAATCTCAGAGCTCACCGAGCTCCTCGTCGTCTGTCTCGCCGTCCACGAGGATCTTATCCTTGATGGACGGCATGGCGGAGGAGCCGGCACGAGCCCTGACGGTGGACAGAGCGGCCGTTAGACTGACAGTCACAGGTCAGTTCTCGGGATTCAGCTGGGTCTTAGGCCTCTGCGCGCGCTGCGATCGTGTCAAGCGTTGGGATTAAGACTGACAATCAAATCAGTTCCCAATATCCAATAAAATTCAGCCTAGTCCCGTCCAGCCTCCCAAGACTTCCCGCTTATCCCCCACTCCGATGTCATCCCCAGATCAACCTCCCGCTGCAGCCTTCTTCTCCTTGGAGCATCTTCATCCTCCCCAAGGACTGTTATCTATTCCTCCCACCATGATCGGCCCTTTCCCTTCCCCCACCCCCGTCTTACATCAAAGCCACCCCTCACCCTGCCCCAGGTCTCCTTGTCTCTCACCTGGCCTGGAGGTGCTGCAGCTGCACGGACAGGCTCTCCACCTGTTCCTGCAGCTCCTCATTGGTGCGCACCAGCCGCCGCTGGTTGGTCGTGCTGCTATCGACTTCATCCTCCACCGTGCCCAGCTCCCGCTTCAGTTCGTCCACGCGGCCCCGCAGTCGGCGCACCTCGGCCTCGAACTGTTCGGCGCGCCGCATGGCGTGGGAGAGCTCGGTGGTCTTCTCCTGTAGCACCTTCTTGAGCTTGCTGTGCGCGTGTTTTAGCTCGGAGAGCTCACGGCTCTTCTCGAATACCTGTCGACGTGAGGAGGGAGGGAAGAAAGTCAGGGAGAGTGAATGCAGGAGCATCGTCTTCATTTCAGAACGATTTGGAAATATGGTTAAGAGTGACGTAAAAAATCGTTATCGTTCTCTCCCGTCTCATTTCTCACAGCCCTTGCCCTTCTAAACAGCGACAACTCAGCCAGTGACCATTATACCAGTGACCATTTATCCACAACACAAAAGTGAAGGGCAGCATCCCATTCCCTTGGCCAAGCACACTCCTAGTGCATTCTTCATCCCCGACCCCTCTCCCCTAGTCTCACTCCGCCTCTCCCCCACCCATACCTCCGACTGGAGCTGTTTATTCTCCGTCTCGGCCGTCTGACTCAGCTGTCGACTCCTCTTCTCCAGTCGCTCCTCCAGATCGGCGATGTGCGCCCGCAGCTTCTTGTTGTCGCGCTCCACGGAGATTTTGTCCGTCTCCAGACGCTCGCGGCGCTCCCATTCGGCGGCGTTTTCGGCCTGTAGACGCTCAAGTTCGGAACGCAGCTCGGCCAGCTGTAGATCACGGACCTGGAGGGGGAGGGTCAGACTGGTCAGTGATCAGTAAAGACGCCAACAAAACAGCAAGGCTAGATATAACTAGCAGACAATGAATGAAAACAGAGGGTAATGAGCGTTGCTGATCTATGGACTTATCACGCGTGTCTCAGTGTGTAGCTTCCACCTAATCTTCCAGTTCCATTTGCGTACTCCCTTGAGTTTACAGGTTTCCTCTCCTTGCACCCACCTTCCCCTGTGATCGACTTTCCTCGCAATCACCTCCCCACTGACTCACCTCACGGCTAGACGTCTCGTCCCTCAGATCGAGCTGCATGCTGGTCAGCTGGTTCTCGTGCTGCGCGCGCAGCTCCATCAGCTGTTTGAGGGTCTCCTGGCGCGAGAGGCGCACGTCGTCCAGTCGCGAGCGAAGGTCTGATACGTCTTGACGCAGAGACTCGACGGTGCGCTGCAGGGCTGCTTTCTCGCTGAGGACATAGGGGCGGAGGGTTAATGCGAAAACATCTAACTACAAACCTACACAGGCAGAAAGCTGGGTGATGTGGAGATAACAGATGCGGTGGAACACGAAACATAGTACGATTTTAGCATTAGACAGTGGCGTCAGGGAGGAACGGAAATGAGAAATGTAAGAAATGTGCATTGCGTGTTAGTTATGGTAATTTTATCGCTATTTCCTCAAATATCTTCGCGACAAACAATATTTTGATAACTATATTCGCAAGCATGGGCATCATTTACCACAAATCAAGATAGCATCCTCCCTCGGACCTGGGTTTTAAGTGGGAAGTGTTACTCACTCCCGCTCGAGCTGCAGCGCCTTATCGGTCGCATCCCGCTGTCGGACGGACGCCGTCTCCACCGTGGCCACTGGAGACGTGGGCGAGGCGGGGGCGGCGGGCGACACTGCAGGAGAGACGGCAGGGACCGGGGTCTGTACTGCCACCGGGGTGGGTGTCAGCACCGGCGCGCCTACCACCATCCCGGGCGGAACCACCGCCGCTGCTGACACCGACTCCGGCTCCATCACCGGGCGCGGGCGCTGTTTGGGGATCGCTCCCCGCTCCGCCTCCGAGACTCGGAACTCGGGAAGGCCGAACGCGGCGGCGGCTCGCTCCGTGAGCGGGTCCGGCGGCGCGCCGACCGCCAGCGGACCGCCACACTCACAGCGCTGAGACAGCAGGCGTTTTAGCTGGCCCAGCTCGGCGGCTAGAGACTCGTTCTCAGCCTCGATCTCGTGTCGGTCCCGTTTGACGGCGGCCGTCTCCTTCAGAGCGGTCTCCAGCCGGAGCCGGACCGAGCGCAGCTCCTCGCGCGCCTTGTTCCGCTCAGCGCGAACCTGTCGTATAGTGTAGGCTGGTTAGCGAATATAAAAGTACTGCGTTCGTCATCGTGCACAAGAACCAGGAACGAATGCGCTTCAACTTTAAGTCGTTTTGGTTTGTATACAAAGCAGAAACATTCAGGTGAGAACAGACACAAAAGTTGCTACATTCATTGCAAGATCAGGCGATACCACTTCCCCATGAATTATGCCTCCCTGAATGCCCAGACGCAGTTGCAAGACACAAAAATTTGAGTTCACTGCAAGGTAAAGCAATACCACTTCCCCATGAATTCTACCTCCCTGAACGCCCAGACGTCTGAGGGTTTGTTGGTCTTTTCGCCCTCTCCCGCCACCGGACCCACCTTGCTCCACTTTTCGCGCCAGTTGGCGGTGCAGTCGGACCACCAGCGCATCGTCTTCTCCATCTGCGAGGCGCGCGCCTTGGCCTCCTCCAGCTCCTGGGTGCGCAGCTCCTGCGAGAACATCGGCGCGGTCAGCACTCCAACACAGGAGAGCCGGACAGTGCACTCATAGAAGGGGTGCTTTGTGGTTTTAGGGCGCCCGGGCTTCAGAGGTCATCGATGCCCCCGGGCAGCGCTCTAACACAGTTGTGGCAGGTCAGCACTGTAGCAATACCTAAGTACCTACACTGTAGGTCAGAGTACTCACAAGAGCCGGGAACCGCCGTCGTCGAAATGAGACAGTATATGAACGGGAAAGGTGCGACTACCACGTTAAATCTGCGATTGGCTAAACGAATAAGACCAAACATATTCGCATCCAACCGCTCACCATCACGAATTGTCTCAAGTATCGTACATATACTGTCCCTCCCCTCCCCTCCCCTTCCCTCCCCCCCCCCCCAGTCACCAAACATTCAGCCCGTCCGTCATCGGCCATGTACCCAGTGGCCAGCCTGTACATACCTCCTTGGCCTGCCATTCGTGGTGGCTGTGGCGGGGCGAACACTCGCTGAGGGCGCTCTGTCGCGCCGCGGCGAAATGGCCGTGACTGTGGCCGTGGCTGTGACCCGGGGAGCCGGTCGAGTGCGGCCGCGGGGCAGACGTGTGCGGCATGGCGGCGACCCCGGCCAACTGGCCACAGCTCTGTGGGTAGAAAAAATGTTTATAGGGCATAAGGCGTCCTGTGAAGGTAGGGTACTGTACACTGTACAGGCTACCTCCATGTTAGGTTATCTCACCATCATGATATTATCATGAAAGGAATGGTCCTGTCATTAGGCTGGAATAGGTTGGTAAGGTATCAGCTAGCCAGTGGTCACTGTTGAGATAAAAATTACATTTGGTGTCTATCTCAACTTGACAGGAAAAGGGATGAATTCTGGGAAAAAATAGAGAGGGCTCACAATAAGATGTGATGAACAATTGCTTTTTTGACTTTAAACAAGTGTGACTTCATTAATCATCTAATGTATTGCATCAGCCCATCCAAGCAATTGATAATCTGCCTTTGTTAAGTTGGAAAAATAAAGTTGCTCTAGAAAACTTTAAGTGAGAGCAGACAATAATTTTCATTTGGATGTTGTTCCCCACCCTTATCCACAAAATAGTCCATTTCAGCCTTGTGAAGGCCACAATAGCCCTGCATGATATAAGTCATATAAACTGCAAAGCACACTAGTCTGTGGGTACTCCCCAGGGCCCAGTCTTCAGTTATGGAAAGGTTCATAAGGCATTGCCAAGGCTGTGGCCAGCAGTAGGTAACTAGTATTGTCTAACAAATGGGATAAATGGGTTACCTAATACCTATCAGTACCCATTCAGCCCATACTCAACCTTTGCACCTACAATCATCAAATTGAAGTGACTGATTGCAGATTGGCCTGGGTATGTTACAGCCTGTGTTTTTGTAACAGGTCATACAGTGTGGCAGCTAATACCAGCCAGATTTTGCACATGAATGTACCTATATTATAATATTTGAGTTATCCTCCAAATGTGTGCCTGGGTGCCTCATTTCATTCTGATTTGGTGATTTTGTACAAGGTGTTAGACATGTTGGACTTGGTGATAACTGATAGGGAACATGGACGGAACTGTTCGGCAAGATTCTTCAAGAAGGAGTTGGGTAGCTTATAGGTAGGTCCCGACTGGAAAAAATGCACGCTTTCGTCGAGAACTCGAGCGTAGTTGGGCGTTTGCGCCGAAAATTTTCGGCGTACTTCGGCGTAAATCGACGGCTTGCGCCGAAATTTTCGGCGTACTTCGGCGTAAATCGCGAAAAAAACGTCCGGGGGGCAGGGTTGTGCTCGACTCAAAAAAATTTGCCGACTCGACTCATTGTAGTGACCGTAGCCTATGGGTACCGTCGTACTGAGTACCGAGTACTCGTTTCTCTATTGTGTCGTTTGCTGTCCGCCACTATCGAAATAAACAGTCTCCATCTTGGACAAATCGTGGCGTGTCGTGGCCCGGACCGTTCGACGGAATTACACACCCAGGACACTATATTGTGGCGACGAGTGGATATTTTTCGAACTTTTCACGTAATGTCGAGCGCGTGTGTTATATTTTCGTCAGTTTTCTTGCATTCGGCGACGCAATGAGCGCCTTCGACGGCGGAGTGCCACTCCCCGCGCCGTTCCTGCCGCACCCTGGTGCGCCGCAAACGCCGTGGGCGACGTGGGAGCGGCGGTTCGGGAACTACTTAATTGCTCGCAGTGGCGACACCCCTCTACCAGCGGCTCAGAGACGTGCACTGCTACTCTGTGCAATCGGAGATGAGGCATATCGCGTTTATGAAAACTTGCCGACGCTGGTGAAGGACGAGAACGAGGACGACTATGACGTCACCATTCGCCAACTACGCAACCACTACGAACCCAAGACCAACGTCATCGTAGAACGGTTCCAGTTTCGGCAGAGAGGCCAACAGTCACATGAGTCTATGGCAGACTACGCTGCAGTTCTGCATGGACTTGCCAAGAAGTGCAACTTCGGAGCGATGGAGGACGAGCTGATCAGGGACCAAATTGTGGAGAAGACCCCTCACAATGCTCTGCGTCAGCGCCTTCTGCAGGAGCATGACCTAACACTGCCGAAGCTGCTCGGCATGGCAGAGGCTCATGAGCAGGCTCTGCAGCAGGCCGCTACTATTCAGCATGGTGTCGTCGCCGCTCCACCTGTTCCCGCTGTCGCAAAGGTGGAGACACGTAAAGGGCATCAGCAACCTGCCCAGACCGTCAGCACCCCGTGCACCAACTGTGGACGTCACGATCACCCTGTCCGTGATCCCAGCTGCCCAGCCAGGCACATCGTCTGCCACATCTGCAACCGCCAGGGACACTTCGCTGCCTGGTGTCGCAGTCGCGACAACCCAGAACCCAGGGGTGGAGGTTCAAAGCCCAAGAAACCAGGTCCTCGTGGCGGCAGATCTGGGTCCAGCCGTTCCAGACCACAAGCTGTCAGAGAACTGCACGTTCTGGCTTGTGAACAGGGCAAGTCAACAAAGCTGTCGTGTCCAGTGACCATCACAGCCGGTGACATCACACGTGAGGGTGTGCATCTTCAAGTGGATACAGGTGCCACCTGTTCGCTTCTAAGCCTGCAGCGTGCCAAGCAGCTGTTCAAGGGTGTCAGCTACGAGCCTACTTCTGCTAACCTGTACGGTTTCGGCCACAACCCCATTCAAGTTCATGGCACCCTCCCTGCCATCATCAGCTACAACGAGCGCAAGGTCAACGCATCATTCTACCTGGTGGACACGCCCCGCCTGGAGGCCATCATGGGTATGGATGTGCTGAGTGCCCTGGGATTAACTCTGCACCCAGCTTCGCACACCATCTTCGATCTGGATGAGCAGACCTCTGCGTCAGAGGAGCAACTTCATCTCCCAGCTATCGACGGATACGCTCACAGGATCCAGCTGAAGCCTGACGCTGTGCCTAAAGCGTTCAAGCTTCGTCGTCTGCCTCTCTCAGTCCGGGAGGAGGTGTCAGCTGAACTCAATCGACTTCTCCGAGCTGACGTCATCGAACGAGCAGACGCGTCTCAGTGGGTCAGCCCACTGGCTGTCACTCGCAAGAAGGATGGCAAACTTCGCATCTGCACTGATCTTCGATGGCCGAACTCTCAGATCATCGCGGAGGTACATCCACTTCCCACCATAGATGACCTGGAGCGGAACCTACGAGGCACCGTCTACAGCAGGATAGACCTGAAGTCCGCGTACTTCCAACTCTGCCTGCATGAAGATTCCCGAGACATCACTGCATTCCTCACCATGGACGGCCTCTTCCGCTGGAAACGAGTTCCCATGGGTCTCGTCAGTTCTGGCTCTGCGTTCCAGAAGCTCCTGGACCAAGTCCTGGACGGGATCGCAGGATGTGGTCACTACCTCGACGACATCTTGGTGTCCGGGCGCACTCAGTCCGAGCACGACGCCGCCTGCATGCCGTCCTGGCCCGGCTTCGCGCAGCTCGCATCACAGTGAACATGCAGAAGTCCGTCTTCTCCCAGCCTGAGGTCGACTTCTGTGGTCACCGCCTGACGAAGCACGGAGTCGCACCTCTGCAGTCAGCAATCAGGGCTGTGGTGGATGCACCACACCCCACCGACCTCAAGGAGCTACGGAGCTTCATCGGCACCACCGCCTGGTTCAGCAGGTTCATCCCCGCCTACTCCACGGTGGTCCAGCCGCTGACTGTGATGTTGAAGAAGGACGTCCCCTTCGAGTGGGGCCCAGCCGCGGAACACGCCTTCAACAGCGTCAAGAGCCTGATCTCCTCCAGTCCGGTGATGATGCCGTTCTCGCCGGCACTGGACACCATCGTCACCACGGACGCCAGTGACCGTGGTGCAGGCGCTGTCCTGACTCAGATCCAGGCGGACGGACAGGAGCGCCCAGTGGCCTACTGGTCACGTTCCTTCACAGATGCTGAAGCGAAGTACTCAGTCTCCGAGAAAGAAGCGCTGAGTGCTGTGAATGAGCACTGGCGGATCTACCTCTGGGGCCGCCACTTCACCCTACGAACCGACCACTCCGCGCTGACAACGCTGCTGTCGCCTCAGTCAGCCAACCGCGCAGGAGCTCGGATCGCCAGATGGCAGTCACGACTGATGTCGTACTCTTATACCGTCCAGTACAAGCCTGGCCACAGTATCCCGGTCGCGGACACTCTCTCGCGACTACCGCTCCCAGACACCACTGCCGCTGAGACTGACAGTGACGATGTCGTCGCACTCGTCACTGATGCCGCTGCCGACGTCCTCACGGAGGAGGACATCCGAGCCGCCTCAGCCGCCGACCCGGTGATGGAGAAGCTGCGTTCTACAATCCGCTTCGGCTGGCCCGACATGGCTCGCAAGTGCGCGCCGGACCTTCGCGATTACTTCGCCGTGCGCCACGAACTCCAGTGCAGAGAAGATGGCATCGTCATGCGCGGACCTGAACGGGTCGTCGTCCCCGAGACGCTGCGCAGCAGGTACCTGGAGCTGGCACACGCCGGTCACCAAGGCGTTGTCCGGTCGAAACAACTCCTGAGAGACCTGGTGTGGTGGCCCGGCATGGCGACTGCTGCTGCCGCTCTCGTGAAGAACTGCCACGTGTGCTGTTCAAAGGACTCGGTGCTCGCCCAGCAGGCGCGACCAGCACCACTACAGCCCGTCCAGCTGCCTGACCGACCATGGTCCAAGCTCGGTATTGACATCGTGGGACCCATCTCCGCAGCGCCTCCTGCCGCACGGTTCGCGATCGTCGTTACCGATTACTACAGCAAGTGGCCAGAGATAGCTCTGACATCCACAGTCGAAACTGATGACATCATCAGGATGCTCAGCGCTCTCTGGGCTCGAGAAGGTTTCTGCGATGAAATCATCAGTGACAACGGTCCACAGTTCTCAAGTGAGAAGTTCCGCACGTACCTGCAGCGTCGCGGCATCACGCACCACCGGTCATCACTCTACTGGCCGCGTGGCAACGCTGCAGTCGAGCGGCTAAATCGAGAAGTCAAGAGCTGGCTGCAGGAAGCCGCCCAGTTGAGGCTCAGGACAGCAGACTCCTTCTCCAACCACGTCACACAGCGACTCGCGCTGTATCGGACGACCCCCCACTGTAGCACCGGTGAGGCGCCGTCAGTACTGCTGCATGGACGCCGGATGCGTCTGAATCTACCAGTCGTAGAGGAAGCAGCACATGACAAGAGGATTTCCGACCGTGTCGCCAAACAACAGCGCCGAAACAAACGGAACTACGCCGCACGTAAAGGTGTGAAGCGGCCTGGTCTGCGGCCGGGGGACCTGGTCCGTGTGAAGAAGCCAGGACACGTCCCGAAGGATCAAAGTCGATTCTCGGCTCCAGTCCCAGTCACCCAGCAGCTCGGCCCAAGGGCGGATCTAGGGGGTCGTTTTGGGGGGGGTCACCAGTCGGCCGACATACCAGGTCTGGTGAATGAATTCTGACGACCGGGGGGGGGGGGTAGGGAGCGAGTATGTCGAGATCAAAAAATGACATTTGATCTTCGTCGTTTATAAGATGAAGTTTTATCGTAAGTCACTCGGCTCAGTAGTTTTAGTTAGTGAAACCCACCTATATAGGAGCGTCGCCACGGATTTTTTACTGGGGGGGGGGGAGGTGGGTCGACCGACTTAAAAACCCAGAAGTAGATATAGTTACCTCACTTTTAGCCTAATGCATTAGTAAATAGTAGCATACAGTCACGATCTCTCTTATTGACCTGTGTATGAATCGGCGGCGCGAAGCGCCGCAAAAATTTGCAAAAAAAAGTTGTCAAAACACAGCTCTAAAACACAAATATTACAACCTTTTTAGCATGCTAGTACAAGCCGGAGTTCCTTCACAGTACACATATGAATTCCGATTCAATTTGACACGGTTGGTGTTATTACAGTCACTGTTATTTCTCTCTTATTGATTGGTGTATAAATCGGCGGCGCGAAGCGCCGAGAAAATTTGCAAAAGAATGTGTCGAAACACAGCTCCAAAACACAAATTTTACCACCCTTTTAGCATTGCAGTACAAGCCGGAGTTCCTTTACAGCACACATATGAATTCTGATTCAATTTGACACGGTTGGTTTATGTAATTACAGTCAAGATTTCGTATTGACCTGTACGTATGTACATAAATCGGCGGCGCGAAGCGCCGCGAAAAATTTGCAAAAACATTTGTCAAAACACAGAGGGGGCCTCCTCTCTACAGAGGACCACCGATCTCTACTGCGGGCCTCCTCTTTTCACAGGGCCTCTTAACTACAGAAGCTACAGGGCCTCCTCTCTACAGAGGGCTTCCTCTCTACTGAGGGTCTCTCCCTTTAAGAGGGCCTCCTTTACAGAGGGCCTCCTCTCTTCAAAGAGCCAGAGGACCTCATCTCTGCAAAGGGCCTCCTCTCTTCAGAGGGCCTCTTCTCTACAGAGGGCCTCCTTTCTTCAGAGGGCCTCTTCTCTACAGCGGGTCTCCACTCTTCAGAGGGCCTTCTGCATTCAGGCGGTCTCCTTTCCACAGAGGGCCTCCTCTCTACACAGGGCCTCCTCTCTACATAGAGCCTTCTCTCTACAGCAGGTCTCCTCTCTACAGAGGGCCTCCTCTTTAAAGGGGTCTCCTCTCTACAGGGGGCCTCCTCTCTACTGAGGGCCTCCTTTCTACAGAGGACCTCCTCTACAGAGGGCCTCCTACCTACTGAGGAGTCAGAGGGGCCCTAGCGGTCAGACACAGACACTAGCGGTTATTCACTGGAGGCCCCAGGAAGTAAGAAGGGCCCTAGCTGTCAGGCTGGTCAGAGGGCCCTGAATGTCCTGACGTGATTTTTGGGATTCCCGTGAATTTCTTTCGCCTCAGACGTGATTTTGACCTGCCAGGGCCCAGGGGCACTAAAAATAAAACAAACAAAATAAAAAATGAAAATAGGACATCACCAAAATTAAGTGACCGAAATCCGTTGAGTTTTTAATTTTGCGTATAGGTAGGGGCACCACGAATTAAATTCATGACCATCCCCTTGGAGTTTTCCTGGATCATCCCCTGGTGCTCGCACGGTTGAGACAAAAACGAGTAAGATTCTGGTCTTCAATACGCCTTTTCACGCAACACGATCCAGAAAAACAAAAGTATTAGCTCAGAAGTGTTTGACAGGTGATTTTGAGCATGCAAGACGGCGTCTATAGCGCATTTAGGTCTTCGGCTTTTGGGGGGGGTCAAATGACCCTCTCAGACCTTTTGGGGGGGGTCATGACCCCGTGGACCCCCCCCAGGATCCGCCAGTGGGCCTCGGCCCAGCAACCTACCTGCTGGCTGACGGCACCAGAAGGAACGCGGCTCACCTGGCTAGCGTGCCTAGTGGCAGCCAGGATGGAACCGGACCTGCCACACCGCCGTCAGGCACAGCCGGACCCGTCACTCCGCTGCTGTCTCAGCCGCCGACTCAGCGGTCACCGACTCTACTGCGGGACCAGCCGCCAGCGCCACCGCCGGAGACAGCACCGCCATCTACAGGACGAACAACGCCCTCGCGATCACAGCCAGCCACCGCCGACGCTGGTAGCGCGGACCGTGCCGTGCCTGACTCTGATCTGGCTGAACACGAGCTGCCGAGATCGTCGTTCGGTCGCCGTCGGTTCGTGCCTGTGAGGCTGCGCTGATTGTATTTTCAGAACCACAGTGTCTGATTGTTTCGTTTCAGTTATTGGCTCTAACCGCGTTTCTGTATTAGTTTAACAGCTTCGAGTATAAGCTGTGTCGTGTCTATTTGGTGTATCATCCGGTGTCAATTATGTTCAACTTTATTGAGGTGGCGGATGTAGTGACCGTAGCCTATGGGTACCGTCGTACTGAGTACCGAGTACTCGTTTCTCTATTGTGTCGTTTGCTGTCCGCCACTATCGAAATAAACAGTCTCCATCTTGGACAAATCGTGGCGTGTCGTGGCCCGGACCGTTCGACGGAATTACACACCCAGGACACTATACTCATCACTAAACTTCAGAAAGCCCTGACTCAACTCTGACTCAAACAAGGAGCTGATTTTTTTCCCTTGACTCGACTCATGACTCAAGTGGCTCAATGAAAATATGAGTTGACTCAAACTTGACTCACATTTTTGTTGAGTCAAGTGTGTTGACTCAAAATTGACTCAGACAAAAAAGTTGTTGAGCGGGGGGGAGTTGAAAAAAATCCGGCAGCAGCTCCAGGCCTAAGTTGTTAAGCGGGGGGAGAATGAAAAGCTTATATATATTGTTTCTACAAAGATGAGTCAGCTGACTCATGTTCCTAAATGTTTTTGACTCAACTCAATGTCAAAAGAGTTATTTTACTGACTCGACTCTGACTCAACTCAACACCTTAATATTTGTGTCTGACTCAACTCTGACTCAACTCAACAGCTCAACATTTTATCCGATTCGACTCAAACCTGACTCATTTGAGTCAGAGTTGAGTCAAATCTCTGACTCGACTCATGAGTCAAGCACAACCCTGC